TCCATTCTAAAATACTTAATTACAATACAAAACTCTAAGACACACTATTTAAGAGATAATATCATTGGACGTGGACCAAAGTGACTATAGAGTAGCAAAGATGTTGTCTAAGTCACTATTTAAGAATATGCACGATCAACCATGGCCTTACAAGTCTAGTTCATCAAAATGCAGTAGCAACTATAAGACTTATATAATGCTCCTTCTATCTTTCCAAGCATGAAAGACCTAAAAGATTTATATTGCAAGATCAAAAATATCCAAATCCTGCTCAAAAAGTAGGATCAAGTGCTATAATAGCAATAAAAAGATATTTCGACATTCACTTTGAATACACAACTAAAAAAGAGAGATGCAAGTATTAGTGGATGAGCTTTAAGAGATGCAAGAAAAACACAATAGTTTAGAGGCTGTAAAGAATATTATCCAAATTCAAGAAAAAAAATTATAAGTGGTAAATATGGCATTAAGCAAGGCAAGCAAGGAGGCTAAATCTATAATTTAGGTCTTACATATCTAATTCAAAGTTATAGCCCAAAAAAGAAATAACTTCATAGGCATTGAAAAAAATGAGCCTATCACAATAGAATATAGTCAAATTACATTGCCTTTAGTGCAATTAATCTTAAAAAAAGAAAAGATTGGCTTAAATCTAATATAATGTAAGATATTAATATCTATGCCAATACATCTAATACCAAGAAACCTTAAAAAGATACAAGTATACCATATATCTCTCCAATAATTATAGTAGAATACAATGATAGATTGCAAATTTTAGAAAGCACCTCAAATCTCAAGTTTGGCATGTATGAAATTCAAGAAATTGCTCAAGACAAGAAGATAATACTAATAGACTAGCATATGCAGTATTTAGTGGTATAAGCAACCTAACATATATTCAACAATTTTGACACATATAGCAATAATTTGGATAATAAAAATAAAGACGTAAAGGATGCAAAAGACATCATTTTGTAATATTTTGTCAAAAACTTGAATTTTAAGGAGTTATATGCCATAGCCACAAATATTATGAATTGCTTAATTTGCACAAAGACAATGGAATTATGTAATAGCATGGCCATTAGGTGAAAGAAGAAGGAAAGTATTTTACTATAGAAGATCTTAATTAAAAATATATAATAAAATAATATAAATCAATCTAAAAGTAATAATAAAACCTATTAATGTTAGAATTATCTTTTTTGAAAATAAGTACTATTTACTTTGTAGAGCCATAAATAAGACAAAATAAGGTAGATTAGAAAAATAAAGAATTTAGACATATATAAAAAAAAATTAAGAGTTGATTTTAGTAAAACTTACTTCAAGAAGATAAGAATTCATATCCAAAGAAGATAGGTTGTTAATTAGGATCCAAATCAGATTCCAAGGCACAAAACCAAATATCTACTACAACTTTGGAAATCTTTTGTCAATCAAAGAATAGAATTTCAAAAGAGACTTAAGAAGAGATTTTTAAGAGCTAGTTTCATCTCATTTAGATTAATATTGAAGTTTTGAGATATTTTTAAAATTAGTAATGTACTTAATAGATTTAGATTTTAAAAAATAAAAATAAAATTATAAATTTGAGGATTTTTTAAGTTGCGTAGCATATTTATAAATAAAAATTTAAAATTTTGTTTTGTACTTATTATAAATATGTATAAGAAATTTGAAATCAATCAAGTAGTTAAATTGAAGAATATAAGAGTTTTTATAGATTATGATCTCAAAAATTTGAAATTTAGAATTAGTGAGTGATTCCAAGATTTGGAAGTTACTTGGATTGAAGCAAAAATTAGTGACAACAATTTAGACTTGAATATTTAATATAATCCAAATTTTGTAGTAATTAAACTATTCAACAAGGAGAACTTTTTATTAAAAGATCAACATTCAAGTTGGAGAAGGAGTGTGGCCAACGACCAAGAGATTTTAGAAGCTTATCTTGCAATTAGTAAGTCCAATTCTTTTCAGTTTTTATATTCTTGTTAATTACTTCTTGATTAAAATTTGGATATAATTTTTGTCAAGATCAATGGTTTAATAATTAATTATCGAATTTTTAATGTGCTATGGAATTTATTAAGAGTTTGTTTAAGATTTAGGATTTATTTAGGATTTTTTTTAGGATTTGATTAGGATTTAAGATTTGTCTAAGATTTTATTAGGATTTGATTTAGGTTTTAAAATTAGACTAGGATTTAATTAGGATTTTTTTAGGATTTGGTTTAGGATTTGGTTCAAATTTAGAATTTGACTAGGATTTTATTAAGGTTTGTTTAAGATTTGATTAGGATTTGGATAGGATTTATTAAGGATTACATTAAGATTTGATTAGGATTTGGATAGGAATTGTTGAGGATCACATTAGGATTTGATTAGAATTTGGATAGGATTTGTTGAGGATTACATTAGGATTTGATTTGGATTCAATTAAGATTTCTATTTTTGATATTTTAAAAATATTTCTTTAAGATTTCTTTATGTTTTTTTTATAAATTCTTAAGACCTATTATGGATTTGATTAAAGATTGATTAGTATTTTTATAATTTAATTTAAAAAAAATTAAGTTTTAATTTGAATTATTAGGATTATCTTATTATAAGTTCCATTTTTCCTTCCATAACCATATGTCTAATGCATTTTCAAGTAGACTTCACATAATACAACAATAAAGTAGCCGATTTTTGATATCTACTCTTATGCATTGCATACTCACACCAAACGTCAAAGAATGCATTAAGACATGATTGCTATCCAATAATATTTGTATCACAATAAAGAACCTTCTTGTGGAGTTTATACATCATCTTGCAAAACGACCTCAAAAACTTCTTTGTTGGATTTATACATCATGTCACAAAATCACCTCAAGAACCTCTTCACAGTACAAACATCATAGGGATAGGATGTAAAATATCTCAAATAATAAAATATTACTTGCCAAAACAAAGAAGTCTAATGCCATGAGGTTAGTTGAAGATTCAAGAGTAAAAACCAAGAATAGATAAGAGAGACACTCATAATGCTCCCACTAAACTTGGAGGCACAACTTGAGTTTGAGCCATGAAGATAGACTACTTAAAGATTGGATAGTTACTATATTAGGCAATTGTAATCTAATATAGAAAGTATAATGGTAGTGAACACAATCAAACTTGGAGTAGACTAGAGCTAATTTGGATGTCATGTATTTTCAAAGTGTGCAAAATAAACAAAGTTCATGATTAAATTGATATGTGCTACTAGTTTTAGACAATTTACAAAGTTCTATCTTGTGCTTGCTTATTAGCCCAAGAACTCAAGTAATAATATCATGAGCTTATTATATTAATTTCAAAATCACATTAAAATATATATATATATATATATATATATATATACATATATATAAGTATTTAATTTATACTTGAGATTTGTGATTTAAGAAAAATTTGAATCAATAATAGAAAAATAGAATAAAATGTACATGCATTACGATGTCTGGTTTTAAAGTTTGTAACATACAGATTCCATATAATTTGGCTTCTAAGTTATAAACAGTACCTTATCATTCTTTCTATATAAATGTCTGCAAAGTATATTCAAGCAGGAGTTAGATGTTAAAATTAATACCAATGTTTAATTTTTAAATGATATGATATTGTTAATAGTACTACAGGAAATAAATAATATAATATAAAATCTTCAAATTTTCACTTGAACATATAAGCATTTTAAAAAAATAGCCAATGAAGGATGAGTGTACAGAGGCTCTATTTAAGTAATTAGAGAGTGGCTTTGTTCGACAAATTCCCAAACACAATGTCCACATCCTCAACAATGTGGGCCACACACAATGGGCCATCAATTCTCACATGCACTAAAATAGCCAATGGCTCTCAACACCATGGAGAAATGGAGTTTCCCCGCTCAAAGCCCCTTCAGTGGACATAATCTAAAGATAAAACACACATAATAAAGGGGGGCAGAGAGATAGAGAGAGCCAGAGAATATACATTCCCCAAAACTATTCATTCGCAGGACAATTCCGCGTTGGAGGGGTCTACGAGGATTGAAGCAACAAGCTGCTCGGTCCCAAGGAACAGAATGAGCCCATATTCCACACGGAATGGTCATGGAGAGACCCCACATATTCCACCAAAACCCGAGCGCGCCATCAGGTGCTGACTGTGCCAGCCAGCCAGTCATACAACTGCTAGCGGGGATCCCGCGTCCCTTCGGAAGCGGAACGGGACTGCTACCATGACAAGTGAGTAGCATGGCGGGTGATGAAATGGCTGACGTGGACCAGGCGGGGTGGGGAGCAATCAGGGGAGAATATGCTCTGAATACTCTGCCTCTGGGGCCTGAATTGGGTTCCAGGGCGTCTCTGCTGGTGCACCTGCTGGTGCACCTGCTGGTGCACCTGCTTTCACTGTACCGGATCTCACCATGATTGGTCCAAAAACTATCGTCGAATATCGACATTCGGGTGCAGAAGTAGAAGAAGCAGAGGAGGAGGAGGAGCTGAAGATCTATTTGTTATTCCCATATTATAATGATAATTTTGTTCCTTTTGGCGGAGTTTTTTGTTCGACTTTTCTGTCTGTTTTTCTTGGGTATGTAGGTTTCGAGATGCAAGCCGGTAGAAATAGCAGGTTTTTTCTATTTTTACTGCGTGCCAGGTTCTGCTCGTGCGTTTTGAAGACCCAAAAGCGCGTGTAGCGGCGACTCTACCTGCCACTCGGTACTGCGAGGTTGGGTTATTTCGCAAGTTGCGACCCACTGACGCTTTCGCGGCTTTCAGGCGATGCGTTTCCGACAGTCCAGCCTGGGTTATTCTTTTTATTTTTATTTATTTTTCTCTTGTGACAATAGCTCCTCTGTAATGCCCCGGGTGTGGTTCTTCGCGTTTGTCCGCCTTGTCTCGTTGGATTTGAAACCTGCGCTTTCCGAGGTTCTCGTGGATGGGCCTTGTCTGGCTCATGGCTCGGTAAGTTGTCGGGTGCATTCTGGGTTAGTTGAACTGGAGGCCCAATCCGTGGGTTGTTCTGTAGTTTGTCTTCCTCAATTGCTGTGTAGATCTTGGTTTGAGTTGTACAAGAGGGTCAAGCTTGGAGGTTTGGTCTTTTTGTACATTGATATACTGTTAGTTTGAGCTAAATGTTGCGAATATATGTGATTTTGTAACGATTACTTACAGTGGACGAGTTTGTGCTTCTGGCTTGCTTGGTTTAGGGTACGTTCATTCGGTGGATGTGTGTCGGTATTGAACATCAGGTGTAAAACAATCTACAGTGCTTTGGTAGCCGGTTTGTACGTTGTGCAGTGAATCACAGCTGCCTATCGAGTCACTGTCCTAGGCTCTGTTCGCCGTTTAATGGTCACTACGCAATCTTAGACAAGTCCCTCAGTGATCCATAAAACTGGTACACTTTCGTATCTTGGGTATGTCCCTGCTTCCTCTCCACCTGAATGTGGGTGTTTTTGGTTTGCAGAGATTGGATGTGTTATAATCGAAGTATTCTGGAAAACCTGGAATTGGCTGAACTCAAGATTGTTGTGATCGACCATGGTGTTCCCCGTACAGGAAATATGTCGCAACCTCGTACTTAGAATTTGTAACAATGTTTGAAGGAGGGAACAGGGTGTGTTTGCCAGGCACTCTCTCCGGGCTTTGCTTTGGCGCCAAGCTTAAGCTGTGTCTCAGATATGCTCCACCAACACTTTGTTTGTTCTGAGATGGGCTTTGTGTAATACTTAGCAACACTCCTAACTGATATCACTGGGCTTGTGAAGTGCGACTGGCACATTCTGCAGTCTGTTGCGTTTCACCAATATACTAGGAGCTCCTCTGTGCTGTTTGTTTGAAAACCTTGTCTGCCCTAGTCTTCCCCTTCAAATTGGATTTTACATTCGCGTTTTGTATACAAAGCATCCATATGGCTTTAAATGTTTGGGAGCTCATATTGAGAGCTTTGACTTAATTGAATGTCCGATCAGCAATTTCTGTTTGAAGTCGGTTCGAGATTATTTGGTGCCTACTTTCTATTACCGGACATTGCGCTACAGACAGCTGTTTTCGAATTCGAGTGCCGCCGATTGCTTCGATTTCACTGAGCGTGGGGACCAATTTATATTACTACATGTTAGACCAGCGGGTGCAGTTGAAACATGGGATGCTTTGAGTTTTTACCCAAACGGCCCGAATATGAAGGGAAAACCAAAGACAAGAGCATTCCCCCTTCTTCTGGAGAGAGTAGTGCAACAACGGCTGTAAACTCAGGAAGCTATGTTCCATCCGAGTCAAGCATCAAGGGTGATGTCGATGCCTTTGTATCATCTGAGTTTCCTGGCAGGGATCCTCCGAGTAAACACCTGTCTCACAGTGGATCACTTCTGAAACCGAACGATCTCAAGAATTTCGCATTTCATGAGCTCAGATATGCAACGAAGAACTTTGACAGGAAATATCTCTTGGGCGAGGGTGGATTTGGTCAAGTGTTCAGGGGATCAATTAAGCATAAGCAAAAGTTTGGCGGAGGAGATGAGAAAATAGATGTCGCCGTGAAGCAGCTAAATTCCCGGGGCCAACAGGTATGTCCATCACTTATTACGTACACTGTTATTGAGATGTGATGCCCTTTGGGTATTTCGCCTTTCAAATAGATGGTTAAGCGTCAGTGCTATCCCTAAATTGAAGGATTTCTGGTTTTTTTTAGAATACTTATTCGTGATAGCAGGATATTAATACTCGAAGTAGTTTAAGTCATGACTATATGGTGTGCGGAGTCTATTGTTAATGTCAGTAACCTACTAGTGAAAGTCTTTTGCTGGATGTTGCCTTATGTAATCGGAATGGGAATGACATTCACTGGGAGCTGAGGCAGATCCTTTGTTTTGTATAAATTCGGGCAGAGATTGATGTGTATCTATTCTCCTGAGTTTTTGAGGATTTATTCACACTACTGAGTTATCAACCTGATTCTTTTCCACTTAACTAAACCCACAGAGTTATGCTGCAATGTTATGTTCGTCTCAGAATTTAGCTTTTGATTCCTCCAGTGTAATCGATTTTGAGAGGCTTAAAGAGTGGAGCTCCCGAGTTAAAATAGTCTCTCCTTCTTTTCCATTAACCTTGAATTAACCTCTTGCAGGGCCATAAGGAGTGGCTGGCGGAGGTGCATTTTTTGGGGCTGGTGGATTCGCCACATTTAGTGAAGCTCATTGGTTACTGTGCAAATGATGACGATGAGAGAGGAATACAAAGGTTGTTGGTGTATGAGTACATGCAAAACAAGGGTCTTGATGATCACCTGTTTCGACCAGGACCAGTTCCCCTCTCATGGCCGACGAGGGTGAAGATTATCCTAGGGGCAGCGCGTGGTCTTTCCTACTTGCATGAAGAGTTGGAATTTCAAGTAAGTGGCGAACTTCTTTTCTTTTCTCTTTTCTTCTCTTTTCTTTTTTTCTTCTTCTTCCCCCTTTTTTTTTTTTTTTTTTTTTTTTCGGATTCTGAAATTAACTAAGTAAACCCTAGAGAATATCACCTGCAGTTTGTTGACTAAATTAGTTAGTTTTGGGTTTTTAACTTCCGACAGTGAATAATTTTGGTGTAATCACAACATTTAACGTGTTTGTTTGGTTACATTTAGGTCATTTTTCGTGACTTCAAGACTTCAAATGTATTACTTGACGAAGACTTTAACCCGAAGCTGTCGGATTTTGGGCTTGCTAGACTAGGTCCTCAAGATGGCGACAGTTATGTCTCCACTGCGGTATGATGATTTTTTTTTTTTTCTTTTTTTTTTTCTTTTTTTTTTTGTGGAAACAACCTACTTTGCTTGGTTGGCTCAGTTACTGATGTGCAATGTTGCTGAAGAAGATGTTATGGAACTGTTTATTCCTATATATGTCAAGTGCAGGACTGAAACACTCGATGATTGGATCTACGAAACTGCTTTTGCAAGGATTTATTTTAGTTCATTCTTTTATTATTATGTTGGTGACTGGTGAAAGACAGAGTGAAACAACAAGATTTTTTCAAGAGGTATCGGATGGTTTGTAAAGATTAAGTCGATTCCCGATGTGTGGTGCAGGTGGTTGGCACCGCAGGGTATGCTGCACCCGAGTATGTTCAGACCGGTCACCTCACTGTGAAGAGCGACGTGTGGAGCTTCGGTATTGTCATGCTGGAAGTGCTCACTGGAAGGAGGGTCATGGATAAAAACCGGCCAAGGAATGAACAGGTATTAATAGAATGGGCAAAACCCTATATCAGTGATCATCACAAAATCTTCCAAATAGTTGACCCTTTACTGAACGGCAGGTATCCAGTTAAAGTAGCGCAGAGATTTGCGCAGCTGGCATATCAGTGCTTGAGCAAGATTCCGAAAAATAGACCTAGAATGAGCGACATAGTGGAAAGGCTGAAGATCGTACAGGAAAGAACCTTTCAGTGGGAGTCTCCGTCAAAGACTCCATCGCAGAAGGACAGAGCGTCTATGGGTTCTCGTACTGTTAGCTCGGTACAAGAGCTTTCTAGGCCTTCAGTAGGAAGCCCTCGGGGTCTCCCACTTGGCTCGCTGTCGGCTATTCAAAGCGGCAAAGTGTCCAAGTTAAGCCCAAAAGTGTCGGACAATGCAGATGTCTCTAAGCAAATGCCGAACTTGAGCTTGGAAGGTTTCAGACATTCACCCAAACATATGAACACATCAGGGTCGGATACAAAGTCTGAAGATGCATCGGCAGATAATCCAAAGCTGGTGAACATAAGAGTTGAGAAACAAAGCCTCGAGAAAGGAGGGAATCTAAAGCATATGGGTGCAGCAAAGGAGGAGCCAAAACTCATGGACGCAACCATGGAGGAGTCAAAGTCGGTGCAGAGTGTTGTTGAGAAACCAAAGCTTCTGGTGGTAAAAGAGGAGGAGCCGAAGCTTGTGGAGGATGCTACTGAGAAACCCAAACCTGTAGTCACGTCGGGGGAAGATCCATCAGCTACAGCAGAAGTTGCTAAGCAAAGATCTCGGATTAGCTTTGACAGGTTTTCAAGAACGAGCCGAGAGAGTGGCCGGTTTAACTGGATTGCGAGACTTTCCTTCTCCCACAATTAATGCTGTAACCATGTGTAGCTGGGACGTTAAGTGCACTGAATCTGACAAATGATTTACGTAACTTCGTAACCGTATTTTGGTTATTGAGAATGTAAGAAAAATATATTTTGACATGTAGCAGGGGGTTCCTTCAAAACATTTGGTCATTCAGCTGCTTAGTGCACTGTCTTAGAACCTAGTGCAGTTTCAGTGTAGCAACCATAAGCAACCTGCCTGATTTTTCTACCTTGACTTTCTAGGGGGTAACCCATGTCGAGAAACAGCCCATGTATATGAGAAATATCTCCAATACACCCTGCTGGCGGGGACACTGGTGTGCACCTGATTGGGGTTGAAATCCTGTCTTTGGTAAAAAGGCAGTAGTGGTGTAGCAGTGATCGACGTTGAACCACGCGCTCTTGACCATGCTATCATTCACATGGCAAAATCTCTTGTATTTCAAAGCGTTATTTAGACGAATTGGATTGGGGATGTAACACTCATTACAGTTGGGAGTGCGGGGAGGTGGGTTACGTTTGAGATTGGGGTAGATTACAGAAGTTTTTGCTCGCTTTACAGAGGAGCAGGAAGGTCTCCGCAGCTGTTTGTTGCCAAAGACGTCATCGATACAAGTCCTTGACGGGTGCTATTATGAGGTGCATGCGCACGAGACCCGTTGTGGAACATAGCAATAAGTAAAAAAATGTTATTGATGGAAATAGGGAAGGTAATCTTCCGAAGTGTATGTAGGCATTGGAGCCGTGCACATTGGATTGGTGATGTCATACTCGTTTCAAAATGCAAATTGTTTACAGTAATCTCATGCGCAGAAGTACATAATGACGGTGAACGGTCCAAAGAGTAAAGAACTTAAAGAAACCAACTCCTCCGAACAATTTCTTAAAACGACTCCATAAACTTGGATCACTTGCCTCTACATTTCAGCATGTGAATACAAAAATGTGCTCCAAATCCAAGCACTTTTTGGTGTGTCAGGCCCTAAATGGAATTCAGATATCCCTTCCTCATAACACTACTCAATAATACGTATCAATTTCCTTAACAAAATTTCATCATCTTGATCTACCTTGCATTTCAAATATACTTCGTTAATGAATTAGTGCTGCTGGCAATATTCGAGATAAAACGTGACAGATTTCATGAAAAGATTGCAACACTTGAAAAAGTCTCATACATTTGAGATGCCTGTAATGCTTAGGGCTAGAAGAATGTACTGTTTGACTGCAAGGATACGCAAATGGAGGGAGGGAGAAGGAAATAAACCTAGATATTTCAAATACAAAATCCATACAAGTATGAGCTCCTTCAAACCTTTCAAGCCTTCTAATTTGCTCATTGTCTTCAACATACTAAAATTCCTTGCAGGACAAGCAGACTTGAGACCGCTAGAATAAAAACATCAAGGCATGCTCCACAAGATACATGCGGCTGACTATCAGTAATTTCATGATCTCCGGCAGCAAACCATATTTCGATGGATTCTCTTCTGGTCATGCTACATGCAGCCTGCACATAATGACACCACTCAGAACGCATGTCTACGTACTCCGAAAGTCGAAGCTTCCAGTTATGAAGCCCATGAAACAAAAGACCCAAGTGTACTTCCCAGAACTGCTTCTAACGGCAAAGCATCAGACCCCAATGATTCATTCGCGGTTTTAATAAGCAGGGCCATTGCAAGGACAACTATAGATCTCGATCAGTTTCGCTTAAGAGACTTAGCATAATTCAGTATCTCGAACACTACACTATTCGGGTACGATGGTCTAATGGGGCAAGTCTTTGAAAAAGCCATTAGAGAAGTAAACAACGTGGTAATCAGGGGATACAAACATTTTAACTCTTTAAACTTCCCCAGTGAGCAAACATGAAAGATCCAAGGGATAATCTCATGCATGTGCTCCTCCAGCGACTTTACAACAAAATAAAGACAAATCTTAAGACGCCATAGCCCTAAACCCGCCCAAACGGAAAATTGACCTCTCTGTATCGGAGTTCAACTTCTTGGACTATCTGTTGAATGACCACCTCATCAAGGTTTCTATAACAGTGACTCCTACATTCCGGAGGAAGCTGAAGAAGAGGCAGAAGAAAAAAGAAAGAAAGAAGAATAAACATGACAAAATATAAATTTTAAACAATGAGAGTTGCATACATACGTTTACGACAATGTCGCATCCTCCCTCCAGGATCTCACTTCCCGGTATTCATCATAAGCGTGATGTTGTCACCCTTCAGCAATATCCGACCCAACGGCTTCCGCGTCTTCTTCTTGAGTGAAACCTCCTCTGCCTCATCGAGAACCAGGTTCATGTACTCATCGAACCCAATGATACGACCCTCGATGCGCAGATCTTTCTGCTCGAAGAGCCATATCTGAATCCTGGACTTACTCTGAAGAAAACGGAAAATAAGGTTGATGGGCTGGGTCATAATCCGCTGCACCTTGGTCGCCATGGTGTCCGGCTTTCCAACTACCCTGCCACCGGCAAACAAGAGGAAAACGAGCGCTACAACCACGAGCTAGAAGAAGCAGACGAAGCTCTCTCACACTCTCCGCTGCGCTTGTGAGTCGCCAAAACCCTAGAGTAACGGGGCGAGAAAGCTTATGGAACAGTGGAGCTTGCAAAACACGCACAGGGAGTCTACGATTCCCAAGTTTAGGGTTTCGACTCCAAAGTGAGCTTGCCATACCTATTACTTTTTCAAAAAGTTGTGAAGGGACTTTCTTCTTGCTTTTTCCTGCACACTCTAATTATAAACATTTCGTTTTGTATTGCACATTGCCTGTACATGAAAAGGAAATTTCATGTTTGGAAGTTATTTTCTCTTTGGGAATCATCATTTCTTACAGGAAGCTGAATGGAGGTGAGTGGTTTTTTTTTTTCAAGAGTAGAAATTTACGTTTTGCTCAGCTTTTTCTTGAGCTCAGTATCTGTTTAGATACTGATAATGGCTGTGTTCTTGGATGATTTTGAAAAAAAACCTAAATTGGGTTTAGAACAATTGCGAAGATTACTTCATTTATTGTACTAAAAGAGCGTAGAAAGAGATGTTTGTTGCGCATCAATTATATATTTTGCTCCAAAATCAAATTAACAAGCCATGACCATGTTGGGAATTTCTCCATAGTTGTTATTATATTTAGATGAAAAATATTCATTAGCCAAACGAATGAATGCGTACTTGTATTCTCATCCGCTAGGGTTTAAGTTTCTAGGGTTTAGAGAGTTCGTAGGAGGGAGAAATCGATCGGAGCTGTGGCCATTGTAATCGCAGTTGCCGATTGCGTATTGTAGAGGACCTCTTCGGATTAGAGACAAGTTTTGCGGTGTTTGTGAGACAATTTGAGACATTCTAGGCCAATTGCGATGCGGAGCTCTCGAAGCGCAGGCAATGCGCTGCGTAGATGGTGCTACACTCTTTCCTCACCCTCTGTCGCGCTAGGAAGAAATGAGAGGTTACGTGCCCCAGGTTTTCCGTGTGGAGATGTTCGGGAGTACATCGTGAGTGCAGCTAGCGCAGGCGCGTCATCGTGGGTGCGCAGTTGCGTTTCATCGCATCTGGTAGCAAACTCCACCCAGCCGCGGCAAGATTTCTTTAGAACTTTCTCGGAGGCAGCAGTAGCAGAGGAGCCAGCAGGCGAAGCAGGGAGCCCTGCGGTCGAGAGCCTTTACAAGGAGTTAAATGATTCGATTCGACAGAAGTGCTTGCCGAAGGCTACATTGCTGCCCTCATTGTTGAAGAATTGTGCTTCCCCTGCAGATGTGAAGCTGGCGTTGGATGCCGTTGATCGTCTGAGGAGAGTGAAGGCCGTTCAAGGTCAGCAGAAGACGAATTACAATAAGAATATTGCGCAGCTGATGGTGGAAGCTTGCATACGGTCGGGGGATCCGCTCGCTGCATTGCCAACTTTGATGAAAAGAAATGTTTATGGATTTACTCCTTCTCTGGATCAGGGCCATCTGCTTCTGGAACACGCTTTTGGACAGAAAGACACGAAGCTCATGCTGAAGGTACTGAGGACTATGGTCACAAATGATATTTTTCCAACCCCAGTGTCAGCTGAGTTGATTATTCGCACATGCAAAGATGCAGGTAATACAGAGCTGTTATTTCAATTGGCGAAAGAGATGCGTGGCAACGGAGTTTCTTTAAAGAAACATCTCTATGACATGCTTATTGCCACCGCTGCTAATGTTGGTGATGTGAAACAATTATACCAAGTTCAGCAGTGGAGGGAAGAACAAGGAATTGAGCACACGACAGCTAGTGCATTTGCTCTGGCTAAAGCATTGGTGCTGGAGGGAAATGCTGAAGATGCTGCGAAAACAATTCTTCATCACTGTAACGATGCTGAAAAGCGTAACATTTACCTTCAGATTATGGTGAAGGTCTGGCCTCTACAAGTTGGAGCCAAGGTTGCTGAGGAAGAGAAACATGCTCTCTTAGAAGACTTGAAAAAGAAAGTGGCCATCATGTGTGAGAGCCTGGTGCAATCTGGTTGCAATGTGCCCGTAGATGTGAATGAAGATTTTGCCAAAGGAGCAGGCAGCAAGAGTAAGGCAGAAGACGAAGTTTGGACTGGGGGTGCTTCATCCTAGGAACTTGCGACTAGATTTATCATGAATACTGGTACGTGTATCACACGGTTTTATGGTTCCAAACAGGTTAATGTGTAGTCCATCGTGTCCACTTGAGATTATACAAATTGAAGGGGATGTCTTCATCTTAGTTAGCAGAGACACGCAACTGCAGCGTTGGGCGAGACTGGGGTGAGAGCTGCACTGCTTTTAAGCTATTCACCTATTCTTCAAGGAGCTCCTTCCTGACCTCTCTTGCTGCATCCCCTGCTGGTGATATCACCATCAAAATGGTTATGTAGCAGCATTGCTCCAGCAATATGGAATCTGCAGTGCTCTCGAAAAGTCCCATTAAAATGTAAACGAGCAAAGCCACAATAAAAGAGGGATGTATAGGACAAGGTAATTCTGCTGCTGAACCCGTTTCAGCGTTCATCGCTTTTCTTTCGCCATTTAAAAGTCAGTCTATGCACACACAGAACTCTGAAACTCCCTTAACTTTTTCTTGGCATGTTTTGTGCAGTACTTTTGATGCGTCAAACTCCGAGTTGAACTTGAAATAATAGATTTTTCATTCCTGCTTGTTGGCTATTTGATTGTTTTTTCTAGATGCCTGAGGCAGTTGATTCGCAGTTGGTATGGTGCGGGTTCTCTAATTCGCATGCTTAATCTCTGCTACAGTATATTTTTTTGTCTCTACCTGCCAATCTCTGTGTGTAATTTGCGAGTTATTATGTATACGGTCGCTCCCTTTCTGAAGATACAATCCTAAATGTCGATTTGTTTCTTTGCTTTTCACTAGCAATGATTACAGAGTACCACCATCTTTTATTTCATCTTTGTCTAAAAGAGCTATCCGAATCCAAGTTAATTTTTACCATAATTATTCCCGGCGTTTTTGTTAGGTCTATTGAATGCGCAGTCAGCATAGAGATTGACTAATTGTGATTCTCGAAAAGGTAACAATGTCAGCTTATTTTATTGTTCTTAGCTGCGCTTTTTAACATAATATTACAACATGAATGCACTGAATGTTTTGTGTATGCATAATGGTGCCTTGCCTGATTAATACACCTAATTATTATTATTTCTCGCGTAGCTGATAATAGTTGTTTCTAGGTGGTAAACTAATGACCTCGCTTCTTGCATGATTAATATAAAAAATAAAAGTAAAAATAAAAATTAAAAAGGAAGAAAAAAAATCGTTATATTGTTAAAATTAAGTGGGGAATAAAATCCTAATTCTGAAATTCAAATACAGAGATCACATTAGTCTGTGGAAGGGCTTTCTACCCCACCATCGTCAACCCTTCCATGGGCTCACCTGGCTAACCAAATTGACGATATCTGCATTGCTCTTCACCTGAATGTAACGCTTTTCCTCATGTAACATGCCACACGAGATTTCGACATTGGGCAGGTCCTTGCAACCTGTTTCACCAGGTTCCATGAGCTGAAGTGCCTCAAACGATGAATAGCTCCACAGGAAAGTAGAAAAAGATAGATCTCGTAATCGGGGTGAGTGACCGGTTTTGATTAGAAGAACTTGAGTTAATTGATTGTAAATCACAGTGGCTGGTTGATAGTTTGGAAGTCTAGTCGAAAAAAGGTGGAGTTGTTCAAATTATCAAATAATCACTTTTAGTGACAATTGCAAAGATTTTCAAGGAAGAAGGCACACCGGTGTGCACACGTTAGGTAGCTTGATGAGCATGCAACTGGACGTGGGGGAAATATAAAGGAAGATTTGACCTAGGTTATCATTTCACCAGTTTCAAGATCAGGCGGTGAGATAAACCCACGTGAAACCCTATTAGAAAAACCAACCGCAAGAGATTGACAGTTTTGAGAGAAATGAGTTGTTGATTCCAACATTCTTCTTTCAACCCTTGAAGAGTTGAGGTTATGGTACAAGATTTCTGATGATTAGCAGCTGCTTGGCAGTGTCTGTACAGGAATGGTACATCTAACTATAGCCTATCGTAAAATCATTCAGTCGTGTTTTAATAACCTTGTAGAAGAGCTCACGACACACAAATGACGGTGCTGCTTCAACAAAGCCAACGCTGATTCTATCCGCTATCCTTTGAGCTCCATGTACACAGCAAGCAGCCCGCATTGCTGTAGGGTTAGTGGGGAACCCTCTTAAGCACTGAAAGTGGCAACCGATGTGCTTTCCTGCATGTTGTTACATTGCATGCGTACTAATTCCTGTGAATCTGGTAACACTAGCAACCATCATCGCCGAGAGCACCAACGCTGAAAGCAGCACCGTTTTTATTATTATTATTATTATTATTATTTATTGACACAAGTAAAGAGAAACTTTACTGCATATAAAATAAGAATACAGTCGAACTGGCCAGGTCCGGCAAGCTCCAGTCACTGACAAAGCTGTGTTAAGACACATTAAAATATTCTTTGACTAAAATATTTAAACGGTATATACATTTACCAATAAAATACAGCGAAGAAATATTATTACATAAGAAGCACGTAGCGAAATTAATTTAATTTTAGTCCAAAATTCTATAATTTTATTTTGGCTTAAATAATTAGGTTATAAAGGATATTTTGGTTTTTGATTTTTGGTTTTTTTCTTAAATTGAAATGTGCTAAAAGAGTTTACCCCACACAACCCACCAAAATAACTAGTTTCCTTAAATTTCACTGTTCACAAACTTAACAGAAGAATATAGCAGAATGGCGATTGTTCGGAAGGAGGGGGTATGTATATGTGTGCGTTGGATTGAGGGAATCAATGCGGGGATCTAACTCATACACATACCATCCAATTCAAAAAAACAGTTGGAGAAGAAAGAAGGGCACATGAAGGGCGAAGAAGAGAATAGCCGACAATCTGGCCATTAGTATCCACGCCTGCAATTCGTCAGAGATCTGACACTATGTGTAGCGTTGCTTGCCACAGAATCACGTCGAAGCTCAAAGATGACGCAGCAGAGTTTTGGTATGCAGACCAGAAACGTGGAGATGCAGATGTGTCGGCTGGAGCAGGACTTTGAGCACTCAGAGAAAAACAAGGAAAAAAGAAAAGTAGAGGTTCTGAAGTTGTAAAGCTATGGTGCAGGAACAGGGATGACAAGAAGGATGGAGCGCCTTCCGACAACGTGGGTCTCACCTTTCATTAACTGCGCGTAACCTGAATGTCCTTGACTTTGGGCGACAGCGCAGCGCAGGCCCCAATACCATTCCGTGTGGCCATGACTGAGCTGGTGATCGAAGACGGATCCTGAGCGACGACCTCCTCGTTTTTCAACTTTCAATTCCGCCAGTTGCGGTGGGATCTGTTCAAAGGAGTGGCGTAGCAAGAGTGGCCTCACCGTCTTTCTCCTCAATAGCTTAGAGATAATTGAGGATGGGAGGCTAGATTTCGAGACAGTTGTCATCCATCGTGAAATAGTTCGCCTACGAGGGCTTGCGTCTTGCGAGACTCACGAGATGCACCTGTTGTGCCAGTAGGTATTGGGTCTAGTGCTCTGCTGTAGGTGTGGAACAGCAGATGAGTAGAGGCGATCTGATCGGGCTGTGGGGAGACCTAAGCTAGACGTTGGTAGATGCGCATCTGCGCGGTTTGTTGTCGGGATCTGCTTCGCGTTGCGGGGGCGAAGTGGACTCAGGGATAAATGGTCCTGTTTCTCTGAAAGATAATAGCAACCATTGGGGAGACTGTACATTTAGAACAACCTGATTGTGGACAACGTTATTCTCGTATCGCCGTAGCTCGGGCATAGACTTCTTCTTCTTCTTCTTCTTTCTGTTTTTTTCCCTTCCTGTTCGTTATTTTGTGTTATCGGGTGTGTTGTTTGTAGAAATTAGAACAGGATTTGTAATTTCCAGGGCATTCTGAGCAGAACGAGATGGTAGCTATCAAAATTCCGCCGGAAGAGGGGCAGCCTGTGCCGCAACCTAAGCCTCATGTGTTGATGCTCACCATGCCCGCTCCTGGGCACCTTCTTCCAACCATCGCGCTGGGGAAGTCTCTGGCGAGGCAGGGAATCAAGGTGACGTGCCTAAGCAGCGGCACGGTCTCAGTTGGTCTGCGGCGTAATGTGGAGGACGAGTTTGACCAGCTGGACATGACACTCGGTTCGGTAGTGGAGGACCCTGTCGCGGAGCCCGAGCATCCCACCAAGTTGTTTTCGTGGTTGCAGAAGCTGAGCTCCGAGGAAATGGTGGAACATGCGGAGGCAATTTTCAATGGTCTCACACCCAGACCGTGTTGCTTCATCTGCGATGTCTTCATTGGCTGGGCGCCCATGCTGGAGAAGAAGATAAATCTGCAGCGGCATTTCCTTATCACCATGTCCGCAGCGTCTCTCGCGTTCATGTTCGCTGTAATTCATTCCTCTTCATAGTGCTCGGATTAGCTCGTGCGATTGCTCGCTTCCATTCATCTGAGCTCATGTTGTCCTTCACGAGTTTTATCCAATTTGATGGAGCCATGATAATGTTGCTTAGTAGGTGACCATCGCTTGGCTCAGGTGCCGGAATTCTCTAAGCAAGGTCTTCTACCGAGGGATTTATGCTCAGACTCCAGAAAACTCGTCGTGCCCGGGTTACAGACAGTTCCCGATTCCGACATATGGGAGTATTTCATCAAGGGAAGTCCCTTCCAGATGAATGAGATGATTTGGGTTCTGGAGAACTTAACTGAATCGATGGTGAACTCGACGTATTTGGTTAATAGCTGTGAGGAGCTCGAACCCGGTGTTTTCGAAGCTCTAAGAGAGCCAATCCCATTCACGGGAGAGGTAAGCTAAAATCTCACACTTCAAAGCTTCTCAACCAATTCTCTTGCTAGATACAATATCTGAGGTTCTATGCCAGCATCGTCTTCCACGCCATTCTGATGCACAACAGTAATGCGTTCACAGAGCGCCAGAGTTCTGCCAATAGGGCCATTGGAAACATCCTTTGCAGTCAAAGATAGCGAGCGCAATGAACACAATCCCCTCGGAACGGTAGCCCTCGAGAAGGAGCAGAAGCTTTCAGGCGAAGTTGAACAATGGCTGGACAACCAACCGTCGGGCTCGGTCCTTTACATTGCATTCGGCAGCATTTTCTCCCTGCCAGCCGAGCAGATTCGGGAGGTCGCACACGCGCTGGAAGCCAGCGGACAACGCTTCTTGTGGATTCTTCGACCACCTGAAACACCCCAGGTCATGGTCTCGAAGCAGAACTTCAAGGACGAGCTCAAGGATCTACTTCCTTCAGGTTACCCTCCTAACTTGCGCGAAATCTTTTATACCACATCTCACTCGTTCATATCCCACTTTCAACTCCAACAACTCCATTTCTCACTTCACAACTCCAACAAATACATGGACAGGATTTGAGGAGCGAACTCGCGATCGAGGCAAACTGTACAGCAGCTGGGTGATGCAACCCACCGTTCTAGCGCACCCCGCAGTTGGTCTGTTCATGAGCCACTGTGGCTGGAACTCGATTCTGGAAGCCGTCTCGACGTGCACTCCCATAATCGCGTGCTCCTGTTTCGTGGACCAGCATGTGAACGCGAGGTTCGTCGTCGACATCTTCCGCATCGGCTCGGTGGCGAAGAACCCACAAGGCAAGTATGAGCGAGGCCACATGGAATCCGTGATAAGGAACATGATGGAAGGGGAAGAGGGCAAAGCTGCGAGAAACAACGTCACCAAGCTCAACAAAGTGCTTCGCGACGCTGTGTCGCCATCGTCGGGGTCTTCCGCGAAGAACTTGCAACAATATGTGGCGGAGATCTTCGCCATGGCCAAGGCCCAAGCCTTCCTCCAGTCTTCGTAGTCTTTATTTGCCTTCACTTTTATATTTCAGTATTGAACTAAGCTGTGCAGATTAGTGTCTAGTGGACCCCCTTTAGTGGATGATGAATCTCTTGGAATCCTTGAAAGTGTTTTCAGTTGTGTGCCAAGCTTTTGGAAACTATATCATTGTGACACACAATACCATGTTGTGATTCACATTTGGTTGGCAATTATTTGTTATTTTTGTTCCTATAATGTCATGTTTTGTGCATGTGTGTGTGACTGTGTGTGTGACTTTGGTATGTTACTTGCAATTGTTGAATTTTTTTAATAGCCAATGCATACTTAACAATGTGTTAGGTTGTTGTGTGCCCCAATAAGCCATATCAATGGATTAATTCTTTTGATACTTGTTAGAAATAACCATGTCATGACCTTTTCTTCCAGCTTTTAAACATTCTTTTGTGTGGTTGATTTCTACCAGCTTTTGAAGGAGGATCTGAAAGCAACTCTCTTAAAGTTGCAAATAATGTACCTAAGTTTGTGTATAATATACCACTGTTGTCATGTCCTTTGTGGCCTTTTTGCCTTACAACAAATTTACAACATTATCTAAAGGTCCAAAAGTTATTCTCAGGATGCCTTAAAAAACTGAAGAAAATAAAAGTAGATATTGTTGGTGAAGTTTAACATTTGAAACATTAAAAAAAAATGCTTACATGTAGGTTGGATTTATATTTCTTTTTCGATATACCACAAGGTTTGTCAAAATTTTCTAAAGTGTTGCGGTTCTACAAAAAAACCTCTACATGACTTCTTTCTCCATGACAAAATTAATGTTTTTTTTTAAAATAAATAGTTCTCTTTCTATAATGTAGTATTACTTCAAGATTTCCTACTCTAATTGTACTTAAAAAAACTATTTTGGTATTTTATAGCTTAGAAAAAAATCTATCCTTTGATCCTGTTTCTTAGCATGTAGCAAAAATAATGCATAAAGATTTGTTGAGATTTTTATGTTTATTTTAAAAGAATTACTTACTAAATGCATTTTAAAATTTTAATTAGAACTTAAGCAACAATATCTACTTTTATTTTCTTCAGTTTATTCTAAAAAAAACATTAATCAACATTAATCAACATTAATCAACACATCAGTGACGAATAAATAATACATTGTGTACTGAAAAGTGATAAATTAAATATTTTTAAAGTGATAAATTAAATAGAAGGTTTTTAAATAATCTATTTAATTTATCACTTTTCCGTACACAATGATTTAGATGAACTCGATATAGAGTTTTAAATATACACATAATTTATAAATTAAAGCAGGAAAAAGTATTAAAAATGTTTATATATCAAATAAAAAATTTTCAAAATATAATATTTGGATATTTTATTATATTCCGAATATAGTATATTATATATTATATTATAGTCCGAATATCAAATTTTGATAAAATTATTTATAGTTATATATTTATATTTTTTCTTTTCATAATATATGTTGCTTTTTTTATGAGTACATATATTTACATTCATCTTGATTCTAAAATATAACATTTAATTAAAATAGTTTGATTTTCATTTACTACATATATAGTTCAGTTCTAGATACAATATGTGGATCCTTACTAATTTAAAGATAAATCATGTTATGGACAATTGGCCACGTTCAATGCAAAGGTTGGAATGACTTTGTTAGATTATTGAAGAATGATAGTATTATTTTGTACTAAAATTTGGTATGTCTTCTTTACAAATGTTTTTCTTCATCCAACTCTGTATACCTCCTACTTGACCTTCTGTTTAAAATATTTATATTTATAAAAATGGTTGAGTTTTTTAGTTTCTTAGATTAGTTGTATTTGATTAGTTGGGTATTTAAGAATTTAATATCTATATTTTTGTTTATCATCTTTTCAGAATAAAATACCTCTTTTTCGTTGGGACATGATAGGATTTTTTTTTACATAATTAGAATTATAAGAGTACAAGTTATAAAATATATTATTTATCATATTACAACATGCATACTGGATTTGAATTAAATCTAAATTAAAAATTAAAAACATGCAACTTTTCATTGACTTCAACACGGGTTTTCTTAGAAGTTTAAATTTAAAAAACGCAAAACCCTTGTTGTTGCAATGTTTTAATTAGCCTACACTATTTAGTTACCAATTTTTCTACTTCTTTAGAGACATAGTTCTCAATCAAATCCAAGCCAATATTTTTATTGCAACCAGTTATAATAAATATTGATTCTTCTGATGCTCAAATTAGTTTTAAGTGCAAACTAGGTTTTTTTTGGCAGAGTGGACTGTGTTGTTTAGATTTTGAATGTACCCTAATATCACATTTGACATGAGAAGAACTTTTGCAATTCTAAACAAAAGAATCTAAATAGATTTTGTAATTTGAAATTGTCCATTGAAAATTATTTTCAATATATACTATATTTTCAGCTTCAACTTTTGTGAATGAAGTTAAATTAGTTGTTTCTACTAGATAATACAATCATGGTTTAGGTTATTTTCATCAGAAAATACATGTACAAAATGTGATTTCAAAATGTTTTTTTTAGCACAATTACATAGTCTAATTACACTGGATTTCTAGCATGAACAAAGTAACAACTACCTTATTATCCAAGACCACTTGACTTGGATATAATTGTGTACTTTGGTTGGCTACTATACTTGTATGATACTACTACAACTTACACAAGATCCAAATAATGTAATGTTTATCATTTTCAGACGCTTAGATATGTTAAGTTTGATACAAGTTGCAAACGTTTTTTTCAACAAAAACTTGAAATTTTTTATACTCATTCTATGCATTTCTTGAAATATTTTAATGTGGGTATTGCTAGCCTATATGCAAAATAGGAATGATTTAAACTGAAATTAGGAACATTTTCCTGTTGTTAATGCAATCTTTAATTGACAATACCTAATTCATTTACCATCTGCAACATTGTCTTCTAAACATGTTGGCAAAGATAATACATATATATCATCTAAAATTACCATTAATTTCTTTATTTTAAAGTTACATTTACAACATTCATGTAAATGTTTATCTCAAAATTTTAATTGCAATCTATATTTCAAACATGAAATCTAGATGTAATTAAGTACCTAGAAGGAACTTACATTCGTTTGCCATAAATAAAAACTTGGGTACAAGTTGCAAGGAAAAGTGAATTGTACATGAGTAAATAAATGTACATTGAGAATCGTATCCAATGCAAAAGCTTTTATTAGTAACACCCAACAGTCTCACACATTTTTTTGTTTTATTTTAAAAATAAGCAATAATGCATGTCACGAAAACAAACTGCAGCAAGTGTGTATGTTACATTTAACCAATTAATTTTGCAAGTCTACCATGGACTTTTTCAAAACAGCAGAGGAATTTCATGAACTTAACAACAGGAAAATGAAAATGATATTAATAGTATTAAATTGGAGAACACACATTATTGTTTTTTAAATATTAAAAAGGCACATTATTTTGTGGTCCAAAATAGTTTTCACTCGTTTTGTGCAACAAAGTGCCATCCCGAGAAAGTTTCCTAAGTCGGTGTTGTCCAGGGTTCCAGACAAAGCATGTAACCAACGTGGGATCGTAACGGGAACCAACAAGAGAGCCATTGGGAACCAAATGGCGTCAGTGCCAGCGAGGAAACGCCAAGCTGGATCCAGTCATCGTCTCGAATGACACGGCACCCAATCAATATCCGACAGGTGGACCCAGCGAAAGGTTTAATTTTTCCAGGGATTGGAAAATGGGGAAACAAGTTCCTATTGATGGGGACAAAGGTTCACAAATTAGATCAAGTTCTCTACGCATGAGAACGAAAGCTTTCAAGGTTGTGTCAACATCCATGTTACGCATGTATGATGGTGCATGTGGATAGTACTCCTTTTGTTTGATTTCGGTGAGGACTGGGAAATGGTTTTGAATTTTGACTACTTCTCGCTAGTGCTTGCTTGCTTGCAGCTGCTGGCTATGGAGCTAAGCAAGATCTTCGTGCTTTTGGCGTGGAGGCTACTGTGTCCCCGTTGCAGTGGGACCTTGGTGCTCAGAGCAGACGGCACCATACATCGTCTTACTTCCTGTCTTCCATTCCGTCGTGTTCGTTTTTTTTTTTTTTTCACTAAGAAGCCTAGGAACGGCTCCAACCGCGGCAGTTGATCGTCGATGCAAATTTTTCTCTGTCACCGCCAGTTCGTTGTGAAATCTCTTAGTGCAATGGTCGGGCCCGCACATCTGATCAGGCCCGAATTTAGTTCCTTTTTTTATATAATATATATATTTTTAAATCTGGAAGTCGCGTTAGGCAATGACTGTGACAGCAAGAGGCTCGTATTGCACGGCCGTCATTGACGAAGTCCTTGGATGAGGTCGTGCATCTTGTTTCGTTGTGATCTAATTCAGGCCAGGTCGCTGGTTTCATGACGAGTCTTACGACGTTCAAGTAGGAATGGTTGTTTATAGCGCGTCCTGGCCAGTGAGAAGGCGGGGCCTGATGAGGACACATTCAAGCTTCGTTGTCTTGGCATATTCCAGATTAGCTGTAGTCGATGTTGTCTCTCTGGCCAGAATGCTACCGGAGGTGGAGGAAGCTTGAAGGAGACAATAAACCAGGCAAAATTGCACGAGGTCAAGAGAGTCACCTGTTTAGGTGCAGGTGAGGTAGTGGATCGTAGCGAATAATCTGGAGGAGTTGGAGGTGTCCTTGTTGGATCGAAGGTTTGAGAGAATAGAGAAATTGGCGGTTGAGGCTTCTGATTCCTGCTGTTGATGGTGATCTGAATGAGGCGAATTGCAAGATGCAAGCATAACGTTTTCTGGGCAATTATTGTTGTTAGATTGTAGAGAGCCAATATTGAAGAGATGGAGACTATAAATGTGGAGAAGGTGCCGCGGAAGGAGCTCATGCAGCTATGCACTGACCACAAAATTCGCACGGCAGGAGTCAAGGTATAGTTCTTGAGTTGAGTTATTTATTCTTGGCAGTCTCTGCAGCTAATCGCAACATCGCAACATCGATCTTGACACGTTGCAAAGATCGCCTCAGTAGGATTTCGCTGTAATTGAAAAGTCAATAATTTTGGCCTGTCATCATCTGTTCGATGATGACTTGGGAGTCATTCTGATGAGATTTTTTGTTCGGTTCTTTGCAACTTTTACGCTCATGCTAGGGATTATGTTGTACGGTGAGAGTTCTTCGGAGCTGCTATGCAGTGAGCAAACATGTTAGGGTGTTGTGATCAATACGGTTCCTTAAATGTTTTCCCAACTACAAAGGGGGAACTGATCATGATGTCGTGAAGGAGGGAACGTGAGGCTTATGCATGTTTTATGAAGACAACCTAAATTGAGGACTGCTGTGACTTACAGTGTTCTAAAGATCATAAATTGTTGCATCGTCGTGAAATTGCTTCGTTTATAATGAAGCTGAAAGGAGACTCCCTCAAAAAAGATATTCTTCACACGATGGTTCTAATTCTTCCGTTGCTTTATAAATTGTACAGCAAGATGAACTTATTCGTTTGCTGCAAAAGAAGTTGCAGTCTCCAGCATCCACTCCGCCCAGGTACTTTTTCAGCGTCTCGTTCCCTGCAACGATCTTGACTTCTATTATAATCATCAGCTGGCCGTGGTAAATATGTGTCTCAGGATTATTGAACAATCCACCTCCAGAAGTCTAGGTGGTGGAACATGACGATGATGCTTTAGTGCACATCTACTTTCCTGCTTACTGATAACATGTAATTTGTCTCTGAAACAGAATGCCAAAAGCCCGCAGTCAGATGTCAAGTATCGAATCTCCGCCTATGTCTCCAAAGCCCAAAACACACAGTCGGACTTCGAGTACTGAATCTCTACCTACCTCACCGCAGCCTAAGGTACGAAGTCAGTTGGGTGTTGACCCACACACTCCACCAAAAGACCCGAGAGGGAAACTTGCCGAGAAGTCCTCGGGTACGAGATCAACAGGCCTAGGTCGGAGCGATCGTTCTCTTTTGGTATGAAATATTTCTGCCGTGTTCCTTCGATCTAACTAACGCTTTCCTGTGCTAGACTTCATTCTTTATTGCATCCTTCTCATGACGACTATTACAATCGTTGACAATTCAATCGGCGCGGAATATTCCGTCCGGATTGAATGTGTCCATGCATTGTAGAATAGCGGTTCATTTATTGTAGAGAATTACATAAGTACTGAAAAGTGATAGACTGCCTTGCATATCTTCATTATCCAGCGCATTATCTCTTGATCGTCTTAGAGAATGATTTTCGGTTCTGATGTTCAGGACAATCCCTCTCGAAGAAATTCATCTGAACAGATTAGGAAGGAACCTTCATCAGATTCTGGACTGCCCCGAAAACCGACATCGACAAAGACAGCTTCTACACCAGCACAAAAGTCTCCGTCGGATCTTTTAAGGAAGAAGGCGAGTACATCGTCCGTAATTGGCAAGCTAGCACAGGATAGGCACTCCAAACCAACTGATGAATCTTCTTCGAGGAGCCGCCATGTATCGTTTTCTGAAATCGGCAAGCCAGCACAGGAAAGGCGGCCTAGGCAAGGTGATGGGTCGTCACTTAGAACCAGGAACAATATTGAAGGTCCCCGACAAAGTGCCAGGGGTACATCATTGGCAGGCAAACGTCCTGGTGAGCGTTCTTTAGGTCTCTCGAAGATCAATGAAGCACGGAAACCTCGGACAAACGCTGATGCCTATTCTGAAGCAGCGACGAGTCCCCGAGCATCTGAAGCGGGTGATTGCGCAAGTGTCATTGATAATAGCGACTTATGCTCGGTATATAGTTTTTGCAGTGTCTCGGAAGTCGCTACCGATGCTGGACAACATAACGTAGAGGAAGACTTTGATGTAGATGACGGTCGTAGCGTGTCGAGCGAGCCGGCTTCAAGTTTTGCTTTACGGGCCAATAGGTTAACTCTGCGCACGAGTACATTGGGAAGTAAGATGGACCAAAGCGTGTGTTCTTCGTGGCAGACTGCGCACGGAAGAGATTTCTTAGATTCTTCAGTAAAAAGTAGTGCATTGAACAGAGAAGGTTTAAAACTCACCGAACTAGCAAAGGATAGGGAGGACGAGTTTTTTCATAATCTAAAAGACACTGACTCTTTGACACGCGATGCAACAATTCCCGATACATTGTTAGATTCCCTTGCTGAGAACCCAGGAAAGATAATTAGGGCAGAGGGACAAAAAGAGGAGTTTGAGAAGTTGTGCATGCCTGATTCCTCGACAACATGCTCGAAGGAAAACGAGATCGCAGCTTCTGAAGGTACTAAGAGAGAGCACTTACATTCTAGCACTTCTGAAAAGAACGAAGCTGCACTTGCAGCAGGTCCTTCTGCATCTGAATCAGAAGGTAATTTGTCAACAGAGCGTGAGATATCACCTCCGTCTGGAGTCGAAGCGATTACTCACAAAACTGAGGCGGCAATTAAAGCGGGCCACTCTGCATCAAAATCAGGAGGCAATTCGTCCATGGAGCCTGCCCCTGGGATTGCGGAGATTATTCAAACAAGTGAGGCTGCAATTGCAGCGAGACTCCCTTTGTCTAAATCAGGAGTCGATTTGTCCATGAGGCGTGAGATGTTACCTCCGCCTGGAATCGAGACGACTACTCACACAAGCGAGACTGCAATTGCAGCGGACCCTTCTGCATCTGAATCAGGAGGCAATTTGTCCATGGAGCGTGAGATATCGCCTGCGCCCGGGATTTCGGAGACTATTCAAACAAGTGAGGCTGCAATTGCTGCGGGCCTTTCTGCATCTGAATCAGGAAATAATTTGTTTAAAGAACGTGAGATGTCACCTTCGCTTGAATCGGCGGCGGTTGTTCAGACAAGTGAGGCCGCACTTGCACCAAAGACAAACAACGTAGATTTGGCTTCACCCTCCAAGGTTTCGGATTCTTTCGTTGCGACGATGGATTGTCAGCATGAGAAGAATACTGAGCAGAATTCTAACACTGTGCATTCCGATGTGACTTGTGATGAGTTCAATTCAGATCACCCAAAGGTTGAGCACGCTGTGGCCTGCACCAGTACTCAAGAGAGATATACTGCTCCTGTTGTAGAAAAAGATGCACCAGTTGCGAACCCTGAGCATGATTATAAGACAACGGTATCTTTAGGTATTCCTCAACAGCATACTGAGGTGACACATCCTGCAGCTGATGTGCGTCCTGTAATCTTTGTTTCTCAGACTTTGCCAGCAACAGGCGAGAAGGCTCTATTTGATGCAGATTGCCATAAGTTTGATCCAGGACATCAATCCATTGAGCAGGTTATCAGGGACAGCAATATTTATGAAGTGGGCAATAATACTGTTCTAGCGCCGTGCGCATTAGTGGCAAATTTTGAGAGCCAGGATGCAACATCGGCACCTTTTGGAGTGTATCGACAGGAAATTGAGATGGCTACTTGTGAGGTGCAACACAGAAACACCGACTCATTTCAAGTAGATTTCAAGTTCATAGGCGAACAAAACTTCGAGAAGGGCAGTTTAATTGATTGCGCAATGAAACTTCAGAGAGATCGGTCTTTCGACGATCAGGAGATAGGTATTTTTCAGGCGAGAGAAGAGAAAGACGTAAGGCTCAATGACTTGGGAGAATGTTCGATTTCTTCTGCGATTCGGGATGAAGCGCCTCATTCGGTTGTACCGCATAGAAAAACTGACCCTTCCACTACTGATCGGTTGGGCAAAGATGATTCTTATGGTGTTGCCGTCGTCAGTGTTGGAAAGCGTTCTTTCACAGAGTATGAGCCCCTTCTTCAACCTGACATACTGGACACGACATCAATCGCGCCAGTTCACGTCAACCTACCAGAATCACATATCAAACCAATCTCCTTCGACAGCACGATCGGCTACGATCCTCCAGAGCCACAGATCATGTCATTTACAACACGCTCTCCAGATAACGAGCGAGAGGATTCTGATATCAAAATGAGGGACGGACCCTGTGCAAGAGATTGTGGACAATTACCTGATTTTAACAAGGTGAGTGATTTATGGCCTTTGGAGCCAAATTCATCTCAAATGGGCAAGCAATAGAAATTGATTGGCCATGGAACAGTTGCCCTCTTGATTTGTTCTTATGTGTTCTTCTAATTCTTCAATTCATGGATTTTTCTTTAAGTAGTAGATTGAAGAATATCAAATCCTTCTTGCTTTCAGGACGGGCGTGAGCTGAAGGTTAATCTTCTGCAGGACAAACGCGAGAATATATACCAAAGACTTGATATAATACAGGGACACTGGTGTTTAGCCTTTTTTAAAGCGAAGATCCTAAAAACTATCTTGGTTTCAGGACGAACGTGAGCTGAAGGTTGACCCTCGGCAGGACAGACGCCAGAAACCGTTAGTGCTGTGAAGAGGATTTCCATCCTGAGTTTTACTTTGGTGCCTCCAATGGCCATCATCAATATTTGAAAATCGCAGATACCAGAGACCATGACAATGAAGGATACTAGTGCTGGTAAATGAAGCAGAACTTTCATAATGAAACTGTCATCCTGAAACCTGGGTCATCAGGCCTGGGGAGGTGCACCACACTAAAAGCATCACGTGTCCAGCCACTTTGGCAGATAAGATTGATAGGAATACTCTGAACTAAATTTGATCTTACAGCCAATAAGTTCGGCAGAATTTCTAATCGACAATGTGGACTGCCAACAGGCTTGGAGTCTACCAGCGCCGATGGGGGGGGGTTCCTGTGAGTTGGAACGTCAATGTCGTGTGCTTTGGAGAAGCAGACCCGTGTTTTCTACCCTGTAAATATTCCAGAAAACATATCGGAACCAAGTTTGGTCTGAAGAAATTATACGAAGCATTTATACTTCAAAACACGCAGATTACAGTGCAAAGTGATAAATAGGACTAATATCCTAGAGAAAGCAAAAGCTAATGCGGGTTCTGAAAACATTTGGAACTATATGACTTGTATCACACATTAGTCCGATCAGAAAAGCGGTAAATATTGGTATCTTATAAATACAAAAGTAAGTTGTAATGGAAAACATCCAAAAGTTGTAATAGTGAGTTCTTGCTTATGTGTTGGCTTTTTGCTGTAACCTTCTTTTTCATAGAAGTTGATTACGGTATTCTTTCTTCTCATAAAAGCCATCATCACATCTTTATCGCCTTAGATCATTCCCAGTCACGTTATACAAAGTGGCATTGTACTCAACCCTCTGCGAAAGAAACTACGGCGAAGACTGTCGCGGAATCTACGCGACAGGGCAATTCGGACTTCACATGAAAGCAACTTACTATGAGTTGTAGCTGCAAAAAGATCATGTGCCTTGAAATTTGGTAGTCAGAAAGCCACATAATCTTAACTCACTTTACTTCCAACCACGAAACAGTCCAGAGAATCGAAAACTCCACCACAACAAGTACTGAATGAAAATGTATGGTGCACATGACGTGCGAATATAATTTTGGAATATAAGCTGGAAGTAAATACAAGATTATATATAAATATTAATATTCATATATATGTACATAAGTGTAAGTGTGGAAAATTCATGTCCGCTGCTGTACATGGGAAACACATTTACAAAGACAATTCGTTCCACAGGACAACAAACAACACATAAAAGACCACTGAATACTCATAGCGCATGTGCCGAGAATAGAGTCTGCTGAATGTAACGAGCTGATGACAACGCACCGCAGAAATCTAACAAGGCACTAGTGACTGTTGATTCAATATACAGTTATGCATGAATAGGTCATTACGCAGAAGGAGATGCCCACGCACCTAACAAGCAACACAATCTCCGAAAGTATTTTCACCGCTGTAAGTGAAATAAAGGAATCCATCCTCGTCTTTGTGTTCGTCATAAACTGACGACATCATAGCCGCTGCAAAACCCAAAAGAAAACCACATATAAGCTCGCTGAGTTCGGAAGACCAACACAGCTCACTCCTTAATGCTAACGCAAATGTCAGTTCTAGCAGTTATTCAGTTCTAATTTTGTGGGCATTCAGAAAGCTCAGGTAAGCATTCATTATATCACAAACCGCACCTGTAGGAGGAAGAACATTCTTCACAAAGATGAAGATGGCCTTCTCGGAACTCAACTTAATGCGCTTCCTTATGACGTATACAAACTGTCCGACTGTTAAATCAGCTGGTACAAGATACCTGCACAAATATGCCTTTTGTCAATTTGAGCCAGGACAGGACCCTAATTCCACAAACCCAAGGTTTCATGGTCAGGGACCACGCCAATACCAATCCAAACCAAGAGGTGGAAAACTTCGAAACAAAAACAAGTCATGACAAAGACCTACTTTTTCTTATCGATGTCTGGTATGTCGCTTTTCTCTGCCTTTTCCACAATCACTGGGATTCTGTCGGGATATTTGTCACGAATCCTTGAAGCCTCCGCCTGCCTTTTCTCTGCTAGAGAACACCACGAGATGAGTGAAATTCTCACACATAACAATCCTTATCCCGCTACTCCCAACAATTATTACCTATGCTTCAGAACAATCAATCCGACAAATCAATCTCATTTATCAGGAGGGCGTTCCGAAACGAAAAATGCTACAACTGAAGCGACGACGCATGCATTGCTTGGGAAGTCATCAACCACAATTCAATACAAACAACACTCTTACCCAGAGGATGTTCCTGCTTGAACGAACTCTTCGCCATCGTCCCCTCCAACGCCACACCTATACCTTCAAAACTTCCCCAACACCACGATCGCCTTTACACCGCTACCCACCTGATCAAACACAACCATGCGTAATCACCACACAACCCACGCATGAGAATTACCGCCCACCGACACCACAAACCCTACCCACGCTCGTCAAGCCCAGCAACCCCATCTGCCACCATCGCCCGCATAGAATTTCCACGCCACCACATGCCCAGCCCACAAACATGCAAAACCCATACCCAATTCCCCGCACACGAGTCCATGCGCTACCCAATTCTGGCACCACCCCAACCCCATACCTCCTAAAAGAAAGCACACATGAGAGACTGCGCAGAGGGTCAATTACCCAACCTGAGGCGGAAACCAGCAGCAGCGAAGACGATGAGACAAACGGCGAGAAGAATCAAAGAGCGGTGGAGCAGCAGAGGCGAGTACGAAGGAAGCATTAAAAGAGTGTTTCTGAGGGAGCGGCATTGAAAGCGGAGCGAGGCACAGGACGATGATGAGTCACGGGCACGGAAGCCCACGGCGCTGCAGATTTGCCCTACGCCGGCCCGGCCCGACCCGGCTCAGTGGGGCCGGATTATACAACCCCCGGGTCCCTTTATGGGGGAGATTCGTAACCAGGTTCGGGCCGGGCGGAATACCTCGATGCTGTACAGAGGGCGGAGGCAAGGCATGACTTGGAGGACGTGGAACTCACCTTTAAAGAGATACCGAATTCCGCTTGACAATAACAATGGCTTGCTTTGTACTGTTTTGATAATGATTCTGGAAATGTCATAGAGTTTGAAATGAGTTTCATGTTGTTTAGTGCAAATGACAATCCAAGAATGCTGAAAGCAAAAGAAAAGTACATGATATGGTAAGAAAGAGGTTGCAAAATTAGATGCTTGCGTATCTTGGATTTCTAAATATGGTGAGGCACTAGTTTCATGACGCGTCAGGGGATGTGTGAATTTCATAGTCGTATGTAGTAAAACAAGACGGAATTGTTTGCGATTTGTGATTGCAGTGAATAATTCTGTGCTTTTATTGCGTGTTGTTTCGTGACCGTAGTAAAAAGCTCAGTCACAAAATAAATAATTGAATAATACATTAATATTTTATACATGTATATATATAAAGAGAGAGTGAGCAAGATCCAACTGATTTAAATAGAATTCTACGTGTTCATGAATTCACCCCTATATTGTACCCTAAGCTAGCTAATTTGGCATAAAACGCTATGCCGATTTCAACCAACTTGTTGGTACAGCAAATGATGCACTGTATTCAACATCCGTTACTCAGCAGCTCATGGTAAACAAAGTGGTCATCGAACATTACATCTCCACGTCACATTTGCCCCTGGAATTCGGAACTGGAGGTATAAAAACAAGATGCTTATTCCAGTTCTGCCACAAACCCTGACACACTAAGCAAAAATCACATGTCCATTGTCTACACGGTATCAGATCGAAGCCCCTATGCAGGGTTCTATGTACACTCGGCTGATTCGTATCCTCTGATGTGTATCCAATACTTCCTGAATCATATTTACACCACTATCTTCCTCCTTCCAATCCCTCATCCCACATTCACCACGGTATTGGCCCCATCAACCCAACTGTATCACCCCACACCTCCACTTCATCCATCCCCACCTACACTCCCGTGGCCCAAAACCCAACACCACCTCCGCCTCCTATATCAACATTCCAACTGTGCATCCATTATTCACCCGCCTTCTCCCACCTCCCTTCTTCCATCCTGCTAACACCCGCTCGCTCCTCCGAACGTGTTTTCCCCGCTGTATGTGAAGTACACGAATCCATCCTCGTCTTTGTGCTCGTCGTATATCGATGACATCATGGCCGCTGCATCCACACACCACTCCCTCCTTTCACTACACAACCTTCTTACAACAATCCCGCACCCGACATAACCAAACCCACGCACCCCTCTCTCTACCGCCAACCGCACCTCCACTACACCCACTTCCTTGTCCCCAACTCTCATCCCACAATCTAACCCACCACGCCTTCTCCCTTGCACCCACACCCGCCCAACCTACCTGTCGGGGGCAGCACGTTCTTCACGAATATGAAGATGGCCTTCTCCGAACTCAACTTGATGCGCTTCCTTATCACGTACACAAACTGTCCAACCGTCAAGTCCGCTGGTACCAGATACCTGCGCACACCTTTCCACGTTACTCTCCGTATCCGCACTCTACACAGCCATGCTTCTGTTGCAGGGACATGGATTAGTGACCAAACACGTGATCACAACGCATCCCAAACCTAATACTCGACGACACCACCAACAGCCTCTCAATCTCGAAACGCAAAAAGCGACGGGGACCCACTTCTTCTTGTCGATGTCTGGTATGTCGCTTTTCTCCGCCTTCTCCACGATCACTGGAATTCTGTCAGGGTACTTGCCACGGATCCTTGAAGCTTCTGCCTGCCTCTTCTCTGCAAGGCCACAATCACAATTTCTACTGTAAGAAATGGGAAAAAAAAAGAAATGTAAAGAAAAAGGAAAACCCATCGACACTGTTCTCAAGGATCCTCGTATAGTGTGCTCGACTCCAAGACACGCACTTCCAAAACTTTCCACGTCACAGGGACGTCACAAGCACGCTAGTCATTCATTATAGCTTGCGGAGTCGCTAGAAGACGGATCTGTGTACGCGACTGACAAGGTCAAAGAGATAGATTTGAGAACAACACTGAAGAGCACAGGAAGGTCTCGCCCTCGAGGATTAAAATTCATTGTTCTCGCAATGACAATGGATAATTGTTAATCGGATAATTCAGTACAATTACGTCGAAAAGTATTTCATAAGTGCATTTTAAACCGCCAGAAGTGGTTTAAAATTAATCATAACTCAATGATGCCAATTTTCACGATGAAATTGCGGCAGTGAAACCCCGACATGTTACAACAGACATGGAGTAAAACACACACGAAAGGGTGGCATAATGATCAACGCCAGGTTGACGCAACTCCCAACACATCAATGCAACAGCAACCAGAATCATACCCAGATGATGCTCTTGCTTGAAAGAACTCTTCGCCATGGTCACTTACAATGCAACAGTCCGCTTTAAAGCCTCTGCCGACAAAATATTCTCTTTCAACTGGCAATCAAAACAGCAGAAAAAATAGTGAGACATACGATTCGAAACCCAAAACAAGCAAAAACCTACTGAAGCACTACAAACCCTACAAGCGCCCATCGCTCCCAGAACCTTCTCCTGAAGAAAATCCCGTTCCCAGCAGAACACCTTCCTCACCCACCCAGTTTTCTGCGCCTCATATCATTCCGAAACTGATCTTCGACAGCATAAACGCACCAAAAGCAAGGAACGCAAAGCTAAACGGCCAAGAGTCCAACTCGACCAAACCGACAAACCTTGACAAAAACTACTGCATACAAACCGCGAAACACAAAAAAATTAAAAATTAAAAAAAACTATGCGAAATGAAGAGATTTGAAAATCCAAATTGAGAATCCACCACAATAGGCTCAGAGACCTCCCTCCAGAGTGCGAGATGATGGCAATCGGAGCAGGAAATATGCAGCAAAAATACAACGTGAAATGACGAGAAAACCGGCAGAACCATGAGCTTTGCCTTGCCTGGTAGCAGCAGGGAAACAGAACAGGAGGGGCGATGAGGGCCGGCGGTAGGTCGGAAAAACGCTCCCAGAAGGGTCGGTAGCGATTGACGGCGGGTCGTGGGATGAGGCTCGGGGAAGGTGTGGGAATTGCTTGTCTCGTGTTGAGAATGTTTAGAAAGACACAAGAGTAAGAGTAATAGTAAGTCATACACACACACAAGAGTAGTAGTAAGTCATACACACACAAGAGTAATAGTAAGTCATACACACAAGAGGGTTTCTAAGGAGAGAGAGCTTCACACACACAAATCTATTGATCTGGTTGTGTCTCGTATACAAGAAGAGAAAAGAGGAGAGGATAAATAGTACTTCTCCACTAGACTCTAAATACTGTAGCTATAGTAATTACTGTAATCTATAGTAAATATTATGGAGAGCGTTGGCTACATTTAATGATCTCAACACTCCTCCTCGCTCATCATAATATTTACATAATATAAAATTTGTATAGAATCATGATCTATATTTTTTTGTGATCTTGTAAGATCAAGAATTATTGCCTCATTAAAACCTTATCTAGGAAAACCTTGTTTTATTTAAGGATAAAACCATAGATGAAGGAAAAAGAGTACAACATCATTTTCTTTAATTATTTAAAGAACTCATTAACTTTCATATTCAAGAAAAGCAAGTCGCCGCATACCAATGCCATAAGTAAGTCGATGATGGTTGTTTAATGGGAGAGCTTTGGTAAAGAGATCAGCAAGGTTATTTATAGATTCAATTTTCTTAATTATAAGTGCTTGATCAGTAATCAAGTCATGAATATAACTAAAATACTTTGGATCAATATGCTTTGTCTTGTCGCCTTTAATGAAACCAACTTGCATCTGTGCAATACAAGCACTATTTTCTTCATGCAAGATAGTTGGAGAATCATCATATGAAAATCCACAGGTTGTTTGAATGAATTTATCAATTGATCGCAACCAAATACATTCTCGAGATGCTTCATGTAAGGCAATAATTTTTGCATGGTTAGATGAAGTTGCAGTTATTGTTTGTTTCACTGATTTCCATGATATTGCAGCTCCGTGTCTTAAAAATACATATCCTGTTTGAGATTTAACTGTTGCAATATCAGATTTATATCCTGTATCACAATATCCAACTAATTTTGAATCTGCAAATTTTGTGTAATATAATCCCAAGTCTTCAATACCTTTTAAATAATGTAATATATGTTTGATGCCATTCTAATGTCATAGTGTTGGACCTGCACTATGTCTTGCAAGAACACTAACTGCAAATGCAATATCTGGTCTTGTAGATATAGCTAAATACAAAAGTGCTCCAATCACTGCGAGGTATGGATATTGGTCTCTCAATATTTCCTCCTCGTCCTCACATGGACAATATTGATCATGACCATCACGACCACGTCCAACCATTGGTGTGGACAATGGATAAGCATCAATCATATTAAATCTTTGCAAGATTTGTCTAATATACGTTAGTTGATAGAGAAAAATGCTACCATCTATAAGATGCATAATTTGAAGACCAATGCAGAAAGTTATTTTTCCTAGCATTTTCATCTCAAATTCACGTATAAGTAGGTTTGTAGCTGTAACACATGGAGATGTAGTACCCACTAAGTTAAGATCATCAACATATACAGTGATGATCACAAAACCAGTTTTATCTCGTTTGATAAACAAACAAGGAATTAGTGGATCACTTATAAAATTATTTGTAATTAAATAATCTCAAAAACGTTGATACCACATTCATCCAGATTGTTTTAAACCATACAAGGCCTGACATAATTTAATACCATGATATTTTCCTAGAGCGGGTTGATTTGGAGTTCCTATTTCTAAGCCAAGTAGAACTTTCATATAAATATTTGCATCAAGAGAACCATATAGATATGCAGTAATTACATCCATTAGATGCATCTCAAGGGTGGCATGAACTGTCATTCCAATAATATATCGAAATGTAATTGAATCCATGATTGGAGATTATATGGATTCATAATCAATGCCAAATCGTTGAGTAAATCCTTGAGCAACAAGACGAGCTTTATAGTGGGTTATTTGGCCTTGAGCATCTCGCTTGCGTATTAATACCATTTTATATTCCACAGGGCGAGATGTAAGAGTGTCTACAATTGGACCAAAGACTTTCCTCTTACGCAAAGAGGCATACTCCTCCTCAATACCAGTTTTCCATTTTGACTAATCTGAGCGACGCATCACCTCTTCGATGGTTTGAGGTTCAGGATTATCTTCCTCACAAGAAAGGGTTTCTATAATCATATATGCAAATGATTCATCTACCGTAATAGATGGTATGTCCCAAATATCATCTGTAGCACAATACAGAATAGATAATTCTTTACTCAACTTATTCTCATTCCTTCCAATTCCAAGATTGTTTTTCATAAGAATTGAAGGTACATTATGCATGGATATATGATCATGAATTGGTAGTCGTGCAAGATGAGTGGCAATTTCTTGAAAAATAATACCAGGATTAGTTGATTTTATAGCTTTCTTCTTACGTGATTGCTTATCTGGTCCACGAGTTCTTTTAGTTGTTGTTGTTATAACTTGAGGTATTGTAGTCAATGGCACTGCAATCTGAGCAGGTGCATTCTAAGCCTCATTAATAGGAACTCTTGTAATTCTAGGTGCATCATTGAAGCCATCAGGTGTTTCATCCGCAATCCATTTTAAATGCAAAATCTTAGCAACTTCAGTTTCTGCCAAAGATGTCTTAGGATCGAGATTCATTGTAAACGTTTCTGGTGCTTCAAATATGAGTACTTTATTTCTTTATTGATTGGATACTCCTCCTCGAAGAGATGGAAATACATCTTCTTCAAAATGGCAATTTTGCAAACGTGCACATAATAATGTGTCAGTTGATGGATCAAAAATACGAATAATGCCTGGTGAATCAAAACCAACATATATGCCTTCTTGTCGATGAGCTCCAATGGTACACCATTGAGGTTCTGATATTGGAATCCAAGCACGGCAACCAAATATTTGTAAGTAAGATACATTTGAAATACGACCCGAAATGAGCTCATGTGGTGAAACAATTTCAAAAGAAGAAGGGTGGAGGCATATTAATGGTGCAGCATGTAAAACTGCATGACCCCACATAGATGCACGTAGATTTGTGTGAAGGAGGAGTGGCCGCGTAATGAGTTGTATATGCTTTATAAATGACTCTGCAAGTCCATTTTGAGCATGTTCATATGGAACACAATATGTTAACTCGATTCTTATTGCAGTACAATAGTCTTCAAAAGACTTTGATGCAAATTCTTTTGCATTATCCATACGCAATGTTTTTATAGGATAATCAGGGAAATGTCCTCGAAAGCGAATAAACATAGATATAAGATTGGCAAATACCATGTTTTGAGTTGATAATAATGAAACATGTGATTGTTTACCTGATGCATTAACAAGGACCAAAAAATAACGAAATGGTCTTGATATTGGATTAATAGGACCATAAATATCACCATGCAATCTTTCTAGCATTGGTGGTAATTCTTGTGGAAGTTTCCAAATTGAAGGCCGAGTAATCATTTTACCTTGCACGTATGCACGACATAATTCCATAGAGTCTACATCTGCAGACTTTAAATTGTGCCCAGTTATACATGGAATGATCTTTCTAAATAATGTGGAATGTAGATGTTTCAATCGTCCATGCCAAAGAGAAACATGACTCTCTGAAATAGATGATGTAAAATTAAATATAATGGGAGGCCAAATCACAATTCGATAAATCATTTTTCTTAATTATCCTATAATCACGTTTATTCTTTCCATATGGGTAGAAATGGTCTTCACTATGACTATCCTGATATTTATGAGCACGTTTCCCATGTTTATATAATTTCTTCTTAGACTTTGAAATATTAAGTGCACGAGATTTTGAAACCGTAGTTCCAATAGGACGAGCTTCTGTATTGCATAAGAGTAGGTCATTTTGCTTCTCCGCAAGAAGTACATAGGACATGAGATCAGAATGACTTTGAAATTTCATGTTCCTGTATTATTGTGCAAGCATAGCAGATACAGGAGGAAATGTAGAGAGAGTTTTCTCAATCATTTCTTCTTCAGAAATGCCTTGTCCACATAATCATAATTGTGAGACAATACTATACATTTCACTATTGAAAGCATTTAAATTTGGAAAATCCAAGACACGTAAATGTGTCCAATTATGACGTGCACGTGGAAAAAAAAATGGTCTTTTGATGATCAAACCTAGATTTAAGATTCTTCCAAAGTTCTACAGGATCTTCCATTTCTAAATATTGATGTTGTAATGCAGGTACAAGATGACGACGAAGGAGAAGAAGTGCTTTCTAGCGAATAGTAGGAGATATAAAAATACTTGTTGTAGGAGATTCTTCAAACATAATGGCATCCGAGAGTTGTTCTGTAAATAAATTTACTTTTGCCATTTTTGCCCATAATAGATAATTGTTTCCATCCACAGTCAATGGTGGAAATAAAAGAGCTTGAAAATATTGGAATGTACTAATAATAGTTGGAACCATAGTAGAAGCAGTTGAAGATGTTGAAGCACTCATTATAAATAAATCTATAAAGAAAATACAAGATCAAGTAGAAATGTTGAGTAAAACGTACCTTAAAATATAAAATCAAATAAAATGATAAACTTGAACTTGAAAAAATAAAAATATATAATTTTTTTTTTTTTTTTTTTTTAAGGAGAGAGTTGTAGATTAAGGTAGCAGAACAGCAATAAGATGGTGGTAGCAGGTAGCGACGAGCAGTAGTGGCAGGCGACAATGAGCGACAACGGCGAGCAACAATAGACGGCAGTGGCGGGAGCGGTGTTAGGGCGACGACGAGATGGTAGCAACGGTAGTGGCAGGAGGCACGAGGCGCAACAAAGAGCACAGAGCAAGCTGGAGTTGGGCTGGATCAAGTATTCTAAGCAAGCAGGGCAGAGTGTCAGGGACAAGAACTCGATGAAAGCTAAAGAGTAAGTGAGACTTTTCTCAAAAAGAAATAGGACAAAATAGAAATATGTATATTAAGAAAGAAACTGGAATGGCTATTGCCAAAATACAAGAAAACTAGAGACCCTTGAAACTAGACTAGAAGCAAGAAAGGAGTTGACAAGAGTGAAGAGGGCTTCACTCTTGCCTCTATATATACTATCTAACTAGAAGCCACGTGGCGATGTTCTATAAGACCTCCAATATATGTTGACTTTCTAGGCCACATGCCTTTGCTTGCAAGGCAAGTTTTCTATGGATAGACCACGTAGTTAGCTTGTTCTTTAAGCTTCCAACATGCGTGGCACATGGCTAACTTGTTGACCAAGTTTCTAACCTAAAAGTCAACTATAGACTCCTATAAAGTCAAAGCAGCGTCTATGAAGCTTCTAAGAAGCTTCTCTAGAAGTTATTACACAATTAACCTACTTTTACATACTTTTATCTATTCATATAGGTAATTATATGTATGTCCGTGACACAGAGAGTAGAACAAGTGCTCTAAGCAAGCAGGGCAGAGAGTAGAACAAGTGCTCTAAGCAAGCAGCTAATGTGTGAGAAGAACAAGATCATGACACAGACACTAAGCAAGGGTAGCAACAGGTTTGAAGAGTCAAAGACTAGAACAAAAAATTGTGATAGTGTGTAGAAGAGAATCGTGCTGATAACGTGTTGAGAATGTTTAGAAAGACACAAGAGTAAGAGTAATAGTAAGTCATATACACACACAAGAGTAGTAGTAAGTCATACACATACAAGAATAGTAGTAAGTCATATACTTAAGAGGGTTTCTAAGGAGAGAGAGCTTCACACACACAAATCTATTGATCTAGTTGTGTCTCGTATATAAGAAGAGAAAAGAGGAGAAGATAAATAGTACTTCTCCACTAGACTCTAAATATTGTAGCTATGGTAATTACTGTAGTCTATAATAAATATTATGGAGAGCGCCGACTACATTTAATGATCTCAACATTCCAAACGTCAGATTCATTTATTGGGGAACGTCGCTTCGTTCGCTATAAATTGATGAGAACGTTGTGCGTTTGAATCCTCGCTTGGTTTTTCTCAATCAATACAAAGTAATGCCACTTTGTTGGTTTTACTTTCTCTAATTCTTTCCTAAAAGGAACAAACTATGTAATTAAATCCGTAATTAAATCCTTGTATAATAATAATCGTTCAAAATTAAAATTATCATAGTTAATTATGATTTTATCAATGTGAAAAAATATTAGTTTAATATAATAAATAATAAGATTTTTTAAAAAAAAAGATATTTTATTAAATCATGTTGCAATAGTCATAAATTATTGATTTAGAAATAAGTAAAATATCTAAATAATTTTCGGTCTGAATTTTTGCAGTATTTGTATCTTGGTTTATCTTGCCATGTTCTTTTTGTTTATTCTTGGTTAGTATTTGTATCTTGGTTTATCTTGCCATGTTCTTTTTGTTTATTCTTGGTTTGTAGAGAGGTGAATGTTGACGAGGTAATATTGATTGATTTTGTTTATGTGTTCTTAGCAATCATAGTTTCCGAGGAAAATTGTCCTACTTGAGGTTAGATTAACAGTACCTAATGAATAATACTCATTTTTCACATTTTTAATTGAAACCATAAATGTTCAGTAAAGGAAACAAATGTAAGTTGAAGATATTGATTTAAGATATAAAATTAATTACCTTGTAAAGCATGTGATTAATAGAAGAAAATAAAGCCATTCGAATTGACTTCATACAAATAATATTATAATTAAATATTAAAATGATAGATTTGTATACCAAAAAAATACTAACGAATGAAATCTCAATACTGAATGATGTATTTCTGAACTTATTTTTTTGTACCATAAGTCTTAGAAAAACATAAATTCTCAACATTAACAAACAATTATAAATGAATGTATTTATAAAAATCACAAAAAGTTACAGATTATTCTCCATCAAAAGAAAAAGTTAGAATTTGTTTAGAAATTAATTGAAACAAAATCGTTTAAAATGAGGAGGACTAATGCAACATATACTTAGTTTGTTCTACACACAGTTTTACCGAAGCATTGGTGTAAAAATCCATGTTACACCATGGTTTCGTTTTAGACAACTCTTAGTGCTCATTTAGGTCAACTATTTAAAAACTACAAAATAAAAACAGAGGTTGTTTAATTCTTTATTATGGCCTCATAAAAACATGTTGCATATAAATCCTAGACTTAATAAAACAACACTCTAGTGAGCAATAAAAAGAAATTGTCCATCGTACGTAGAGTTTCCTACAGCAGAAGCTCCATAAAATAAAATAAAACTATACAACTATAAATAAATAAATAAATAAATAACATGGACAGCTTGTCTTATTCTTTCACAAAACTGGTTCTTATTTTATGATGTATCACTAACCAAACTACACCACTTATCTATGCACAAGCCAAGAAAATTATTCTAAAACTAAACTATCACCAAACCATAGAATAGAATGCACTGATTACCCAACTAATATAAAGTTGATCCTGAACATAAAAAAAATTGAAAATGGGAGCAGCAAAGAGGAAAGGTTTTGCGAAAGAATTCACAAACTCCAGTCAGATCAGCAGGAAATCAGTCCAGGGCTAACTGTCGATTTAGCATAACATCTTCAAACCCTGCTTTCTAATACAAACCGGCAGGTTCCATCTAAAAGCGGTGTTTTTGGCAAGATCTGGGGTGCGAGACACTGGATGTAGCTACCCTGAGCATTGTGGAGCCATTTTAGAAGTGACAGTTGCTGCGTGAACTGGAGATGTGAGGTCAGATTCCACGCGCAAAGCACACGTTGAGAACAGTTGTGATCTGCCGCTCCAGTCCTTTCCATGTATTCTTTGCAGAATTTGACAGAGCGTAGTCAAGGTTTGAGCAACTTAGACTGAAGGAGGTTAGTTATCAAGATGCACTGCCGCAATCTCTGGATCAGCTGACCTAATAAAGATAGATTCCGAACTATGAGTGAAGCAAAACGGAGCAGTGCCCGTCGCTTGACATGCACATTTCAAGCTACTTTTATCGTCTGTTTTTTTCTTCCTTTCTACTCTCTCTTCAAACTCGGTTTGTTTCAGGAAAAAAACCATCCACTGTTCTTGCTGTAGAAATTACATCCCTATGATGTCCCTACCAAAACTCAACGAATAAAACTAATCCTAGCAAAAAAGAAATCAGACGATAATCAGCTCTCCATTCGCCTGAGAGAGCAGAACTGGGCAGGAGAAGGTTCCTAGAGCTCTGCTTCACTTTGGTATTGGCTACTACCAAGAACTGCCTTGCTCTTGCTGCTGCTTCGGCGACTCATGACAAGAGTATAAGGACCCTTCAATGCACGAGTTGTTGAAAACCCTTCAATGCACGAGTTAAAAACTTGTACTGAAGGCGAAGAATCGGCAACTTCACTCTAAGCCGTTTTTCCAGGATACACAATGCTAGCTCATATCTACTGTGCGGCGTAAAACCCTCGTCTACCCAGAGAACTTCGAGGACCCTCAATTTCCAACCTGCTGCTCATTGCTGCCCTTGGAACAAATCACCTGGGCTGGAGGTGCATCCCACACCTCCCATTGCTTCTGAAACTCTTCCATATCCCGCACACACTCAGCGATAGACCTGGTCGTGACATTCTTGGCATCACTAGAGAATTCTTGGCCAGATTCTTTCTCATATATGGTACGCCACTGTGGCTCCCAGTCTTGACGAGCATCACAAAGCTCAAGCCCTTCTATGTGGCCAGGAAACCCCCAGCCTTTCCCAAGCTTGGACACTATGGCTTGCGCTTCTGACCCTGTCGCCTTAGGGGTGCATGGTTTGCACTTGACACCGTTCATATCACCCTTTGTCGAGAGAGACGCCACTGGCACGCCGAAGTAGGCCGGGGGCCAGGCGTATTTCCGGTAAGTGAGTATGCAGAAAGGGAAACTGGTCAATGAATACCGCACGTTTGAGTATCTCAACTGCGCTTTGAAAGCCGTCTCGGAGTTCAAGTTTCTGGCACCCCGTTGGTGAAGAAGTGGTAGTAAGCTGAGCCTTGATAATGCTACCCTAGAAGTTTCAGCATTCCCGACACCCAGCCTGTCATTGAGACCACCGTAATGGGATCCTTCTGGGATGTGATAAACTGAGGGGTTCAACGAACTCAAAGGCGGAAGTGGTCCGGTCCAGTATCCGTCGACCCTGGTCCGAACAATCCAATCGTACTTGATGTTGTGTTTCTTCTCGTATTCGCTAATCAATCCAAGACATCCTTCGACCAAATTGAAGTACTGTAGCAACCCCTGGTCCATACAAAACAGTTCTCTACTTTTCAACACCCTGATTATACCCCTAAAAGCAAGCACTTTGTACCACATGATACAACACACACTAAAACCAGCCTTATTCCCAAAACCCTTCCGGATACAGTAATTGTTATTTGGGCTGTGGGTGTCAAAGACGACACATCCAAGTAATAGCAAAACACAGGATCCAACCGTTCGTTTAAATGCAGAAAACTATTCAGGTGTGAGCAAGAGGAAAACCCTTCCCAGTAATGCTACACAACATCGATAAAAACCTACATGCGTAATAAATATGCACAAATTGCATGAATGGCATTTTTGAGGCAACAAACCTGTATTCCATTGGGGGAATTCGCCGCAGTGAGCACTTCTCGCTGCAAGGTACTTTCGGGGAGTCTTTCCGGAACGAAGATGCGGGCACTGGCGAGCCCCACAGCTCCACTAAGCAGCGTAAACTTGTGAGAATCCTTATCCAGAGGCGAGTGTAGGAATATATCTGTGTTATTGTAAGCATTCACGACGTACTTCTTGAGCGTCTTTCCGGTCAACTCAAAAGCACGTGCCCCTCCAACCAGGCATACGGCAACTCGTGATCCTGTGGAATTCTCAAAAAGCCTCTCCTGAGGAACTGGTGCGGCAACTGCTGGGCCATATTCGTTCACAAAGATCTGCATCCCGCAAAATTGAACTTCAAACCCTCAAAAGTACCAAGACAGAGCACAACGTCTCAGACATACCCACACGCAGCAAATCTCATCTCGAATTGAACCAAGAAAAAAAAAAAAAAAAAAAAAAAAAAAACTCAAAATGCTGAAAACTGAAGGAAAAAAAAAAAACGAAGAAGAAGAAGAAAAAAAGAAAGAAAGAAAGAAGACAACAATGAAGCAATCTCCGAAGAAAAAAACCTCGCTTTGATTCGAGAAAGAGGGAGCCAGAGCCGGAGCAAACGGACTCTCCTCAGCTGTAGCGAGCGCATACCACAGCCGCAAACGCGAGAAAGATGTCTCTGAAGAAAATTGGTACCCAACCAAGGCGATGACACTAGCGAGAAACACCACAGTCGCGATCCAATAAGCTCTAGGTACCAAAATCGCCATGATACCTCTGCCACGAGAAAGATCGAAGCCACGCAGCCATTTAAGTACCAAAATCCCCGTAGACGTTTCAGCTACTACACAACCAGCAGCAGCTGCTGCCCATTCGTCATCGTCCCCACAACACACACACACACACACACACCTCACCTCACCTCAATCCACTTCAATTGACCCCACCTGCTGCTACTACTACTACCACCACCACCATAACTGCTACTATTGCATCAAATCCTCACCCACAGCCCCCTCAACTACAAAACCCAATCACACAAAGTATAAATGCGAGAGCTACCCATTCTTCCTCTTACTGCAATCTCACTGCAGGCAGAGAGGCAGGCAGGCACGCGCTGTGAAATTGCGAGACCCGCCCCGCCCAGTGGATCTAGCCAGTGAGCGAGACAGAGGGTCAGAGCCGGGCACCACACGCGACCAGAACGAAGGGGGGGGGCATTTGTCAATTGACGAGGGATGGCCCTTTCCTTTTCCTTTTGCTTTTTACCTTCTCCTTTATCATTCCATTTGCAATTGCTGCCTGCCCTCCGTCCGTGCCTCCCTTGGACGATCCTTTCCTTTTCGTCCTTGGACGGCGACGAACGTCCGCTGATCCGGTCAACATCGGCGATCGCCCAATAATGCACGGGTGCTTGTCCTTCCTCCCTTTGTTCGTCCGTCTCGTCGATCCGTTCGTCTCGTCAATGAATCGTCGTCCCCCGTGAGTACTTCGTCATCGACGTTATGTACCGGGAGAAGACATTGAATCGAAATGTCGTTTACTTAATGAATTCGATATAGTGGTAACCCATGAAAAAATAAACAAATAATAAATAATAAAATAATTCTGTATCAGTCATTTCATTCTGGTGAATCTCGACAGTTGATGCTATTCAGATAAGCCCCTATATTTTATGCACTTTCTCTCGCTGTAAATTTATTCTGGATTTGTATTTTGAATTAACCTTCAAACTATTCTTGTATCGTCAACTGTTCCATCTCTAATTATTTCAGATTTTTTAATTTTAAATTTTAAAGTTCATGTTTTCTCTTATCTTCTAATTGTAATTTCCCCCTTTTCCCTTTTCACCTTTGATTTGTTAAATGTAATGCATTTTTTCCCCCTTTTACGGAGCTACTGTTCTTCTAAATTTTTGGCTATTTTAATACCTTTATTTTAAATTAATTACGTTTTTAAAAGGTAAATCACGAAAGTATGATAAATGTTACACGATTTATTGAGACGAATGAAAAAATAGATTCCCTGAAGATATAATTAAAATAGAAAAAAGTGGCAAGTTGTATTTTTTTTAATATGAAGGGAGATCTTTATGCTCAGGCAAGAAAACAAGAGGACACAACTTTCAAAAATTGTGATGAGTTTAAAATAAAATAAAAAATAAATAAATAAATCTCCTTTGGTTGGCTTTGTACTTGGAAAGATCAACCAACAGGTCATAAGAGGAAAAAGATGATGTGGGATGACTTTTGTCTTACATGGCACAAATAGTGTTGTTTCTCGGAATTTGTGATAAGCCCACTCCTAAAGATAATAAGCAATTATGAAACCGTGTCCAAAATTGTTTAAAATATACATTTTTTAAAAAAAATTAAACACGTTGTTTATATATTATATAGATATACAAAATTAAGATTTATATTTCTATATGAAGATTTATATTAAAATAACAATATGGTCCATGTGATGGTATCTTTTTTCACTTTATAATATTCCCACAACTTAATAATAACACTTTATAATATCTATTCCATTAACAAATCTTGTTTTACTACATTATATTTTAGATTGATTCCTGCTGAACTGAGCTTTATAATCTAAAGTCCTATTGGATGCACAGTTTTTGAGTAAAATAACATGTTTTTAAATCATAAATGACATAGAAAAAAATAGTAACATCGGGATATCGTTTAGGAGTAAAAACTAAAACTTACAAGATTAGAATGTTTTGTTATATATTTAATCTAGAAAAGCTTTATTTAAAATTTTACTAATTTTGAAACTCATTGTAGTATAACTAAAAAAAGAAAAATAATTACATGAATAAATAAAAATATTTACATAATTCATTTAAATATAGATTAAAACTTTAAAATACAAGTTTTTGTATAAAAAATAGACTTTAGATACAATAATATAGTTATTTTGATATCCTCAAAGATTATAACCATTGAAATTCATCTTTATTTTTATTTTTATTTTTATTTTATCTATAATGGTATATTTATATAGATTCAAGAAAAGAAATTGAAGTTGTGATTGCAAACTATAAGTCTCTATTTACTTGTATAAAACAGACTTTTCTACCTGGATTTTTTTTTCTATTATTTTAGTTTTGATGATTTCTTATTTTAATATGTATTAACATAATATCAATTTTTAAAATTAAATTTCTTAGTTCTATTATTGTTTCTTGTTTCAAAAAAAATTAATAGATTTTATTTATTTAAGAATACTTTATTTTAGGATTCGTTTAAGAGGGAGCAATCAATTAACTTTTAAAGTATTTTTTATTTATTTATAGTCTTAACCATTTAAACAACTAATGGTGCAAAAAAGGATGTTAAATATATATTTTTTATTTTAATATGTTTTTTTTACACAACTTAATCTTAATTTCTTAAAATCACATTTTTGAATGACAATCTATTAAATCATATATATTATTAGATTTAAAGCCATAAAATTATAGTATTTTATTCAAATATGATACAATTTTTAATTAAAGCATCTTAAAATCCTAAAATAAAAATGATTATTTTTAATTATATATTATTTTAAAATATTAAAAATTAATAAATTATTAAGTTTAACTTACAAAAAACTATATATACATACATATATATGATTTGAAAATATTCTTTATATAAGAATAAAAAATTATTATAGCAATCTTATTAATTCAAATTATATATATATATATATATATATATATATATATATATTAATAATCATATATTAAATTTTTGAATAAAAGATATGTATATTTTTGTATATATATATATATATATTAAGAATAATATTATTTTAATTTTTTATAATATTATAATTTAAGTTTGTATTTAGAATTTTTATATGTAATAATATAAATTAAATTTATTTTCATGTTTGAAATGTTTAAATTAATAATCAAAATTTATAAATTAGAATTTTAAAGTGACAAAAAAAATACTTAAGATTCTATTAGACTTAATAAGATTGTTGTTGCAATTCTACTTACCTTCCACAGTTAGGTGCTTGGTACATTCTCAAGCAAGAACATATGTAATATGACAATGTGCAATGTGTGGCTAACTTGTTGTCCAAGTTTTCAACCTACCAATCAACTACAAACATGTATATAGTCAAAGTCATGCCTATGAAACTTCTAAAAAGATATTCTATATGATATTATCAAATTAATCAATTTTTATTTATCTCTATATAATTATATTATCTAAATAATTATTGGAGTAGATATGTATATTCATAACATTATCCCCTCTTTTAGAAATGAGTTCCATAAAGAGCAATGATCACATATTAATGAAGTCTAAGATGTAGTGAATTGTATTTGCTACATATTCTAATCTTTGTTTCTTTTGAAGTAGTTAATAGGCCCTCTTAGCCATCAATAAAGTTGATTATTTTTTAACTCAAATTTAGAAGTATTATGAGTCTTATAAGAATTATTTTTAATATCATAAATAAGAAGATCATAGAATACATTCTATGAAATATGTTTAAAAAAAGTTGAATCAGTATTCAATGTTGATTTTATTATTCAAAGATAAAATTACTTTGATTTCAAGAAAATAATTCTTTATTTATCAAAAGCTATATTTCTTTCTTTTGGTGTAAGATAAGAATGTTTATCAAATGATAAATATTATTATTTTTTTGATTGATAAATAATCTTAAAATCAAATTTTGATAAAAACATATTCCAATAGGCTTAGCAATAATTCAAAACACATGCTAATATAAAATACTTGAAATTCTTGTGATTTTTATATAAAGTGAATAGAATGAAAGTGCTTTCTATATAATGATGCCATTCTTAAATTGAATCCACAATTATAAGAAGTTCTTTATTGTAGATCTTATAATTGATCTCTATTGTTAACAATTTCTTTTAATAAAAAATAATTGGATGAATTTTTTTATCTATTTTTATTTGTGATAATATTGCATCCAAAAAAAAGATCAATATATTTATTTCTATAAAAAATACCATGAAGAATTCAATGTAATATAAGATTAATGTAAAACTAAAAGCTTTCTTAAAAGCCTCAAAAAATACTTATACTTCTTTACTCCACTTAAGTTTGCCTTTACATTTCAAATATATAAGTAAAACCGCAACTTAAAATAAGATCTTGATGAAGATTTAATAATAATTTACAAATTTAAAAAAATATTAGACATCTTTTATTGTTTTTGTAACCTTCCAATCCATGATAGTTTGGAATTTTTCAGGAACCATCATAAGGCCATTGTTTGAAATGACGTATCATAAGAAGTAAATTTTAATAATGTGAAATACACATTTTTCTATCTAAATATGTAATCTTACATTTTAAAGTTTTTGTTACATAAGAAAAACATAAATTTTATGCTCTTATGTATTTTTAGAATAGATTAAGATGTTGTATAAGTACTACTTAATAAAATCATCTAGAAATTTTCAAAAAATATCATTCATAAGATATTGAAAAGAAGCTAGTACATTTGTGAGTCTAAAGGCATGATGTTATATTCAAAATATTCATATTTTATTCAAAATATAGTCTTTCATTTATCTCCTTTTTTCATGCGTACCAAATTGTAAGCTTTTTAAATATCTATTTTAATATAGATCTTTGTTTGATTTAATTGATCCAAAAGTCTAAATAGAAAAAGTAGATAATATCTATTCTTAATGGTGATATTGTCGAGTCTTTGATAATCTACAGACATCTACAATGATCTATTTTTTTCCTTTTCAAATAAGATTGAAGCTTCTACTAGAGATTTAGAATGGTGTATGAAATTCTTGGTTAATTTTTCTTCTATATACTCTTTGAATTCAGTCAATTTATTTTGTCATAAATTATAGATTAGTCCAAATGGCAATTAAGCTCATTCTTAAAAGTCAATTGAGCAATTATAAAGACAATATTTTGAAAGAATATTGATATTCTTTTTCTCAAAAATATCTTAATAATTTTAATATTAGCTTGAAATATTAATTTTAATACTTCTACTATTAAAAATAGATATGGCATAAATAATACAAAATTATACTTCCTTTATAATATGCAAGAAATTTTTTTCACCAACAAATAAAGATTGGATTAAAGTAGACTTATGACTTTTTATTTGATTAAAAAGAATTCTTAGTTATACTTTGGAAAAAATCAAGACTACAATAAATCCTATTTA